AGTGGATGAGGGATTGGAGGACCTCCAGCCCCAAATTGCGAAACAAGTCGTCCAGGAATACCTGGCCGCTCTTAATGAGTTCAAGTCCCCTTTCAGGGCCAGATCAGGGCCATATTGCTTCGGCTGGAGGAGGAGGCAGAGGAGCCTTTGAAGAAGAGGAAGAAGCAAATCAACAAAACAAACTTGAGGGGCATCACCACTCGCTCTGGTGGGCGGGGTCATCACCTCTCCGTTCCCTCGCGCCTCCGAGGAGAGCCAGCACTGCCGCGCATGCTCAGTAATGAGCCCCCAACTTGAATGTGGGACTCCACTTCCCAGAAGCCTTAGCCACTGTTTCCAATCTTCAGTGGTTCTGGGGGGAGGGGAGGAGGCGGAGAGGAAGGCCGGTTGGCAGCCAAGAGGAGGAAGGCTGCTGCTGCTGCTGTGTCTTCAACAATGCTGCTTCTGCCGCTTCTGCTGGGCGGGCGGGGGTGGGACCCACCGTCCTCCTCTTCCTCTCCTTCCTCCTCTGCCAAAGCAGCAGCAGCAGCGAGAACAACACGACGTTCAGCCCGCAAAGGCTGACTGGCCACCTGACCAGGAGTGCCTTGATTGTGCTTTTCCCTTATGGCAGGAGGTTGGATATAAATCCTGCATATCAGAGATTTACATGATGATTCATAACAGTAGAAAAATTACAGCAGCTATAAAGAAGCCACAAAAATAATGTTATGGTTGGGGGTCACCGCAATGCAAGGAACTGTATTAAGGGATTGTGGCATTAGGAAGGTTGAGAAACACGGCACTACTGCCTATTAGGAATTGTGGGAGTCCAAAACACAAGGAGGGCCCAAGCTGGTCCATGCCTGCTTTAAAGAATAGCCATGGTATTTAATTCTATTGTAATGTTTCACATATTTGTAGATTTGAAAGTGTATTGAAATTTAAGCTGCTTTGGCCCCTTCCACGCAGCTGTATAAAATCCACACTTAACCGGCTTATATTGTTAATGCAGTTCAAGGCAAATATTGTGGATTATCTGCCTTGATATTCTGGGTTATATGGCTATTTGGAAGGGCCCTTTCAGAGCCCCATATCCCAGGATCTGATCCTAGGTTTTCTGTTTATCCCAGATTATCTGGCAGTGCAGACTCAAATAATCCAGTTTGAAGCAGAAAACCTGGATCATATCCTGGGATATAGGGCCTTTCTGGAAGCGCCCACAGTCTCCTTGTGAAGACAAAAAGTGGTGTATTGTAGAACATAAATCTGTCCCTGGTTGAAATTGTGATTTTCTGTTTAATTGTGCGCCTCTTACTTTGAAAGTAGTTGTTCTCCTCCAGAAACTTTGTGTGGCTGCCACAAACTATGATGACAAGAGGTCATGGGAATTCGGCCAATAGGCTGATCAGTAAACATATTCATGGGTTCCCTGCTGTTATAGTTAGCCTGTTACCCATGCTACGACATACTTGCAGTCAAAATTTCATTTATTTGTAATTAGAAATAAATGTTTCACAATATATAAAACTATATACTATAAACTATAGTCCAGCCCTCCAACAGCCTGAGGGACAGTGAACTGGCCCCCTGTTCAAAAGGTTTGAGGACCCCTGGTTTAAATAATGATCAAACATTTTGCCTCTTCTCAATGGAGAACATTTCTGCAACCTTCAAAAGCTGCTACAGAAAGAGAAGGATTGTGGCGGCAGCGTCTTCTCGCAGTTTGGACTTCAACTTCCAGAACCACTGACGATTGGAAACAGTGGCTAAGGCTTCTGGGAAGTGGAGTCCCACATTCAAGGCGGGGGCTCATTACTGAGCATGCTCGGCAGTCTCAGAAAGCGCTTCAGAGGCTGGGTGGCCATCTGTCAGGGCTGCTTTGAATGCAATATTCCTATTTAAACTAAATATTGCAAATTATGGTTTTTTTCTTGAAGTGACACACCACCTGAATTTTGCTCAGTTTTTTGGCGAATTTTGACACACCACGCTCAAAAGGTTGCCCATCACTGTTGTAGGTGAACTATAAATCCCAGAAATAATAACTCCAAAATGTCAAGATTCTTGTGTTGTTCATTCGTTCAGTCGTCTCCGACTCTTCGTGACCTCATGGACCAGCCCACGCCAGAGCTCCCTGTCGGCCGTCACCACCCCCAGCTCCTTCAAGGTCAGTCCAGGCACTTCAAGGATGCCATCCATCCATCTTGCCCTTGGTCGGCCCCTCTTCCTTTTGCCTTCCACTTTCCCCAGCATAATTGTCTTCTCTAGGCTTTGCTGTCTCCTCATGATGTGGCCAAAGTACTTCAACTTTGTCTCTAGTATCCTTCCCTCCAGTGAGCAGTCGGGCTTTATTTCCTGGAGGATGGACTGGTTGAATCTTCTCGCAGTCCAAGGCACTCTCAGAACTTTCCTCCAACACCACAGTTCAAAAGCATCTATCTTCCTTCGCTCAGCCTTCCCTAAGGTCCAGCTCTCACATCCGTAGGTTACTACAGGGAATACCATGGCTTTGACTAGGCGGATCTTGTTGCCAGTCTGATGTCTCTACTCTTTACTATTTTATCGACTGGACATTGCTCTCCTCCCAAGAAGTAAGCGTCTTCTGATTTCCTGGCTGCAGTCTGCGTCTGCAGTAATCTTTGCACCTAGAAATACAAGGTCTGTCACGGCCTCCACATTTCTCCCTCTATTTCCCAGTTGTCAATCATTCTTGTTGCCATAATCTTGGTTTTTTTTTTTGATGTTTAGCTGCAACCCGGCTTTTGCGCTTTCTTCTTTCACCTTGATTAGAAGGCTCCTCAGCTCCTCCTCGCTTTCGGCCATCAGAGTGGTGTCATCTGCATATCTGAGGTTGTTAATGTTTCTTCCAGCAATTTTCACCCCAGCTTTGCATTCATCAAGCCCCGCACATCGCATGATGTGTTCTGCATCCAAGTTGAATAGGTCAGGTGAGAGTAGACTACCCTGCCGTACGCCTTTCCCAATCTTGAACCAGTCTGTTGTTCCGCGGTCAGTTCTGACTGTTGCTACTTGGTCCTTGTACAGATTCCTCAGGAGAGAGACAAGGTGGCTTGGGATGCCCATCCCACCAATAACTTGCCACAATATATAGATTATATTATTATTATTATTTCAGGCCTATCCAGTTTGCTCAGGAAGCACAGCTGGTCTAAGAGATGTCCTTAGCTCCGCCCACTCATTATACTATGCCCGCCCACGAATCTGACAAAACCCCGCCCCTTCCTCAAGCACAAAATAGAGGCATGCGGTCGCATGTCAATAACGGGGCTTGGCCCCGCCCACTTTCTCCACTTCGCCTAATCAGCGTTCTCCCCTGGGACCTTCTCCCTCCTCATTGGCTCACCGTGGTACTCGGCCCAGGCGTAGCCACGAACGACATCTTTACTCTCCCCGGTCTCCTCTGGCGTAACGCGAATGAGAACGTATTTGAAGACGCCGTCCGGGTCGATATCGACGTCCGGGACGCGCCTCGTGTCTCCTCCCGCCGCCATAATTGCCGTCTGAGGCAGGAACCGCCTCAAGAAAGAGCTCCGTATGAAGTAGGTCTCTCTCAACCAATCGCTGCTCGCGTCGATACGCAAAGGTGTCGACTTGACCAATCGGATTACGAGATTTTCTGTGCCCTCACTTAATTGGACACACTATTGTCCCGCCTACCGATTTCTCGCCCAATGGCAATGGAAGACAGGACCGGCAACAGCAGCCAATCAGATGTGGCAAGGATACAGAAAAGGAACTATCCAATTAGAACGTCGCTTTGGAGTCACGCGGGAATAGTAAAAGAAAAAAGCGGGAGGAAGCGTCTCTTTTCACTCGGGGGAGGAGCCAAGCGAGGCCTGAGCTCTTAAAGGGATAGTGCTCTTAAAGGGGAAGTACTAATTTGCAGACTGATACCCTATAAACTCAGACTGGTTCAAGATTGGGAAAGGCGTACGGCAAGGCTGCATCCTCTCACCCAACCTTTTCAACTTGTATGCAGAACACATCATGCGATGTGCGGGGCTTGATGAATGCAAAGCTGGGGTGAAAATGCTGGAAGAAACATTAACAACCTCAGATATGCAGATGACACCACTCTGATGGCCGAAAGCGAGGAGGAGCTGAGGAGCCTTCTAATCAAGGTGAAAGAAGAAAGCGCAAAAGCCGGGGTGCAGCTAAACGTCAAAAAAACCAAGATTATGGATTGACAACTGGAAAATAGAGGGAGAAACCGTGGAGGCCGTGACAGACTTTGTATTTCTAGGTGCAAAGATGACTGCAGATGCAGACTGTGGCCAGGAAATCAGAAGACGCTTCCTTCTTGGGAGGAGAGCAATGTCCAGTCTCGATAAAATAGTAAAGAGTAGAGACATCAGACTGGCAACAAAGATCCGCCTAGTCAAAGCCATGGTATTCCCTGTAGTCACCTACGGATGTGAGAGCTGGACCTTAGGGAAGGCTGAGCGAAGGAAGATGGATGCTTTTGAACTGTGGTGTTGGAGGAAAGTGCTGAGAGTGCCTTGGACTGCGAGAAGATCCAACCAGTCCATACTTCAGGACATAAAGCCCCACTGCTCATTGGAGGGAAGGATATTAGAAGCAAAGATGAAGTATTTTGGCCATATAATGAAAAGACAGGAAAGCTTAGAGAAGCCAATTGTGCTAGGAAAAATGGAAGGAAAAAGGAAGAGGGGCTGACCAAGGGAAAGATGGATGGATGGTATCCTTGAAGTGACTGGCTTGACCTTGAAGGAACTGGGGGTGGTGACGGCTGACAGGGAGCTCTGGCGTGGACTGGTCCATGAAGTCACGAAGAGTCGGAGATGACTGAATGAATGAACAACAACTAATTTACAGACTGATACCCTATAAACTCACACAGAAAGAAGAAGCCAGAGGCATTCAAATTGTATATTTTCATATTTATTCAAAGGAAATATCTTTTTTTCTCAATTATATATATTATATCATATTATATATATAATATATATATATTATATCTCTATGTATAGATTTCGTATTTCGCATTCGTGGAAGCCATCCACAGCGATACAGTATATTATTATTTTTGTCCTCTCTATTTTGTGCCCATTTTATTAAAAAATAGATGATAATAATAATAGTAATAATAATAATAAAGGAAACATACCAAGCATGCATTCGGCCAAGAAAACCATTCCTGGGGGAAGAAGGGCAATAAGAATAATAACAACAGCAATAATAATAATAATAATTAAAGGTTTGGATCCTGGATAAAGAAGAAAGCACGGAAAGAGGAACCCCTCCTTTGGGCATAAAGGTCCTAAAAGTCCCCATTTGGCAGTGATAATAATCCCAATTAATCCTCTTCCTCGCTTTGCTGCAAACTAACCACATTAATATATTCAACACGGACCTATTAACCCGTTGCCATATTAAAGAAATGTCCCAGTTGCTCTCTCCTTGTTAGCTGCAAATGGAATAAAGAAAAGCAAATAATAAAGGAGACTCCAGATTAATCCTCTGCCAAAAGTCTGATGTGATCCCTAGCTTGTGCCAGTCACCGTTCATACAATATTATTTCTAGCATCCACTTTTCGCTTGATGTTCAACCAGTGCTTTCTTGTAAGTCAGAGCCCGATCCAGAGTAACTTCCAGGTATTTGGGTGTGCAGCAGTGCTCCAGTGGGATTCCTTCCCAGGTCATCCTCAGAGCTCGATACCTGCCTGCTCTTAAGGTGAAAAGCACAAGTCTGTGTTTTAGATGGATTAGGGATCAGCTGGTTTCCCCTGTAACAGGTAGTAAGAGCTCCTAAATCTTCAGAGAGAGATTCTGTTCATCCATCTCAAAGTTCCCTGCTTGAGCGGTGATGGCACAATCATCAGCATAAATGAAAGTCTCTGTCCCTTCTACCAATGGCTGGTCATTTGTGTAAATCAAGCTTCCAGTGGCGCAGTGTTACTGCTGAGCTGCTAAACTTGCTGACCAAAAGGTCGCTGGTTTGAATCCAGGGAGCAGGATGAGGTCCCACTGTTAGCCCCAGCTTCTGCCAACCTAGCAGTTAGAAACATGCAAATGTGGCATCAATAGGTACCGTTCTGGAGGGAAGGTAATGGCACTCCAGGCAGTCATGCCGACCACATGACCATGGAGGTGTCTAGGGACAACGCCGGCTCTTCAACTTAGAAATGGAGATGAGCACCAACCCCCAGAGTCAGATATGACTGGACTTAATGTCAGGGGAAATCTTTACCTTTACCTAAACATTGTGTCATGATCTCCAGCTCATGCCATACAACTGACACAAACCACAAGGCCATGGGACATTGGGCCAAAAGGAAATGCAGGACAAATGGACCAGCCATAAAACTCAATTGCCCAAAGGTGAGGGGAGAACTGGGCTTTGATATGGGAGGGCTTTGAAATGGTAAAGGCATCAGGATTCCTGAATGAGTGATTTATGGTATTGTAGTTAGTACTATATAGGAGGCCAGTAGGTGACGCTCTTGTACTCCGAACAATAAACGCGTTGATATCTACTCCACTTGTGATTCTCTGCGTGATCCTTCATAGGAGATTTCTTCAGAGCCACACAGCTTGGAACTGAGATATCTGACACATTGATGGAGCAAGCATGATCCCCTGTGGCAGGTTGTTCTTCTGTTTTTGCCATCTGCTTCTCTGGCCCTTGAACTCAACAAAAAAGCTCCTGTTTTGTAGCTGTAGATATTAGAAATAATATACGAAAGTTGACTGGCAAAACCTGGGGATCACAACCAGACACAGTGAAGACATCTGCCCTTGCTTTTTGCTACTCTGCTGCTGAATACGCATGCCCAGTGTGGAATACATCTCACTACATTAAAACAGAGGATGTGGCTCTTAATTGACATGTCGCATTATTACAGGATGTCTCTGCCCTACACCACTGGAGAAATTATAATGTTTAACTGGCATTGCACCACCTGACATCTGCTGGGAAGTAGCAGCCAATAATGAAAGGACCAAGGCATGGACATCTCCAGCCCATCCTCTGTTTGAATATCAGCCAGCATGCCAATGCCTTAAATCAAGAAATAGCTTTCCAAGATCTACAGAGATACTTGCAGGAACACCTCAGCAAGCAAGAGTCCAAAAGTGGCAGGCTTAAACCCGGAACCTCAATCAGTGGCGGAAACCAGATGAGAGACTCCCTCCTGGGCACACAGAAGACTTGGGCGACTTGGAAGGCGCTGAACCCTCTGCCATCCCAATTTTTCCAGCTAATTAAATCTAATTTTTCACTCCTTTCTCCCCCTTTGGCCACACTTTGTTAGCTGCCAACCGAATAAATTAACCGCCACAACATTTAATCATGGAGGGTCCTATTAAGTGACCAATATGTCCTATTCTCTCTTCCTCTCCCACTTGCTACAAATTGGATCCGAACTCAGATGGGAACTCAGTGCAAGACCATGCAGAAGTGCTCTCAAATGTGCAATTCATTACAATGGCAAAGCGGGGAGGCCAAGGCTTGGGGTAGTCATGCCTTGGCCCCACAATTCACAGAATGTCCCCCTAAGAAAAGGGGACAAAACCAGACTCTAAGGCAGGCATGGGCAAACTTTGGCCCTCCAGGCGTTTTGGACTTCAACTCCCACAATTCCTAACAGCCGATAGTTTGCCCATGCCTGCTATAGGGAGAGAAGAATGGTCCCAAGACAAATTAATCCCAGGGTTCCCTTGGTAAGCTATTGCCATTGCCTTCTTCTGAGGCTGAGAGAGTGTGACTTGCCCCAAGATATTAATGGTGATGATTCGAACCCTGGTCTCCATTCTCATTCTCCAGGCCCTGGTAATAGTTATAGATCTGCTCTGAAGACGACAAAATAAACTTTCCAGCTTCAACAACCAAGAGCCAAAGTCCCCCCTGTTCCGACATGAAAGCAAGACCCACTGAAGGTCATGTAGCCTGACCCCGTTCGCAGGAATCACATCACACATACGCACACACACCCCAATGTCACGCATGCGTACCTTGTCCATGCAGCCCACCCCCCAGTTTTGTAAAACACGCAAACCATTCCCCACCCACCCCTTTCATTGATCCCATCCCAACATTGTGATGAATGGGCCCAATGCCTAGGAAAGCGACCCTTTTTGAGAGGGGAGGACTACCTACAACTCCCACAATCCCCAGCCATCGCAACCATCCTTCCAATCGTCTTAACGAAGCCTCCGTATGTTCCCAGGCAGTCGACCGAGTTAAAACGGGGAGCCCTTGAGTGCCGGGATGCGCAGTTTTCCAAGGGCAGGCGGATCAAACAAAGGCGAGTCTGGGCAGAGACGGACTTGATCCAGGAGAGGCAGCTCCCGCTTTGAGAGAGGAAAGAGGGGTATACATCAATATGGGTGGACTATAACTCCAATCATTCCCCCCCTCTCTCTATATAGATTTAACCTTCCATTGTTGTTGTTTGGCCCCAAAATTATGGCATTTCCATGGCCTAAGTGGCCAAATCACAGCCTGCTTCCCATCTACTCCATCACTCCGGTCCATAAGGGAGGGAGGATGCTTTGCGTTTCCATGGCAACCCCATCTGCAGTGTTTCCACGGTAACCCCATCTTTCTCCCACCCTCCTTCACCTGGATCCCGCCAACTCAGCGCTATGGGAGATGGAGTTTTGCAAGGTTTGGCTCAAAAGAGTGCAGGGCAGTTAAAAGTGGGACCAAACTGTGTTAACTTTCCAGTGTAGATGCCTCTTCGAGTCTCCCAGCCTTGATAAGGAGGAGCAGGGAAGATGGCATTATGTCCTGCCCCTTCCCTTCCAAACCCTAGGCTTTTGGCTGCTTTCCTTGGTAAGGAAAGACCTCCCCCAAAATAATAATAATCATAACAATAATACAAAATGACAGCTCTTTCTTTCTTTCCCTTCTGGCCAAACCATCAACAAAGCTTTGGAAAATGCCTCTCTTTTCCCTTGTAGAACTTCAACTCCCAGCAGCATGGGATCTGTTGTCCCCTTTGCATTGTATGGTAGACTGCCTTTGAAGATGGAGGCTTGACATTCAATTACCATTTGGCCAGAAGCCCCAGCTCTCCGGAGGGAAAGCCAAAGAGGTTCCTGGGCCAGGACTACAACTCCCAAAAGCCTTGGGTGCTTGGGGCAACGGTCAAGCGAGCATCCCATCCCTCGCCCAGTTCAGACAGAAAGAGAGAGAGGTAGCACCATTCTTGTCTTGAGGTCCAACGCCTCCACTAGGGCAAGGCTGACGCCAGCAGACTAGATCTCCCCTCCATCCCAAAGCCCTTGGAGGCATCGGAGCTCCAGTAAAGACTATCGAAAACATGCCAATCTTCATACGTTTCCAGGTGGGATGGACAAGGAGGAGGAAAGAAAGAAAAAAGCAAAGAAGGAGAGGAAGAAAGGAGGAGGAAGAGAAGGGAAGAAAGAAATCTGAATGTTTCCACACGTGGGATGGAAGAGAATAGAAGAAAGGAAAAGAAAGGAAGGAAAGAAGGAAGGAATCGTAATGTTTCCAACTGGAATGGAAGGCAGAGAAGGAAGAAAGGGGAGGAGGAAGGAAAGAAATCTTAATACGTTTCCAGGTGGGATGGAAGAGAGAGAGAGAGAGGCAAGAAGGAAGCAAGGAAGGGAGGGAGGGAGTGAGAGAGAAGGAAGGAAGGAAAAAAGAGAAGGGAGGAAGGGAGGGAGGGAGGGAGAGGGGGAGGGAGGAGGAGGGAGGGAGAGAAGGAAGGAAGGAAGGAAAGGAAGGAAGGAAGGAAGGAAGGAAGGAAGGAAGGAAGAAAATCTTAATAGTTTCCAGGTGAGATGGAAGGGAGAGAAGAAGGAAGGAAGGAAGGAAGGAAGGAAGGAAGGAAGAAAATCTTAATAGTTTCCAGGTGAGATGGAAGGGAGAGAAGAAGGAAGGAAGGAAGGAAGGAAGGAAGGAAGGAAGAAAATCTTAATAGTTTCCAGGTGAGATGGAAGGGAGAGAAGAAGGAAGGAAGGAAGGAAGGAAGGAAGGAAGGAAGAAAATCTTAATAGTTTCCAGGTGAGATGGAAGGGAGAGAAGAAGGAAGGAAGGAAGGAAGGAGGGAGGGAGGAAGGGAGGGGGGAGGAGGGAGGGGGAGGGAGGGGGAGGGAGGGAGGAAGAAGAAGGAGAAGGAAGGAGGAGGAAGGAAGGAAGGAAGGAGGAAGGAAGGAAGGAAGGAAGGAAGGAAGGGAAAGGAAGAAGGAGAGGAGGAGGGAGGAAGGAAGGAAGGAAGGAAGGAAGGAAGGAAGAAAATCTCATTAGTTTCCAAGTGGGATGAAAGGGAGAGAAGAAGGGAGGGAGGGAGGGAGGGAGAGGAGGGAGAGAAGGAAGGAAATCTTAATACTTTCCAAGTGGGATGGAAGGGAAAGGAGGAGGAAGGAAAGGAGGGAATCTTAATAGTTTCCAAGTGGGATGGAAGAGAGAGAAGAAGGGAGAGAGGAAGGGAGAGGAAAGGAAGAAATGAAGAGGAAGGGAGGGAGGAAGATGAGTAAGGAAAAGAACAAACCAAGGAAGGAGAGGGAGGGAAGCAGGAAGGCAGACACAAGGAAGGAAGGAAGAGAAAAGAGGGAGGGAGTGTATGATGGTGGGGTCATGGAGAGGGTGATGCCAGGGTCACATGATGTCGTCCAAGAGGTGGGGGCTGGCCACCCAGTCCAGGGTGCGGGGTTCGGAGGCAGCCATGATCATGCACATGAAGGGCTTGCCCGTCCGCTTGTCCAGGGGGTAGATGGTGGTGGGGGTGAAGCGCCGGCCGCCCTCCACGAAGGCGCAGAGCCGCTCGTAGACGGAGGGGAACTCGTGGCGCAGGAAGACGCCACGGGTTCGCAGCTCGCGCTGGATGTGGATGAAGCAGACCTGCCGGGCCTTGCGCCCCTCCTCTCCCTCCTGGTCCAGGTCGGCCGTCCCGGGGGGTGGGGTCAGGATCAGGGTCTCCATGGCATCCTTCTTGCGAGGTGGGGCACCCCCCTGGGACCTCTCAGGGCTGGCAGAAGAGGCCAGAGCCACCTTGGCGAACTTGCGGACGGTGGGCACCGGGGTCTTCGGGGAGGGCCCATCGGGAAGGCCCTGCCCCACAGCCACCGTCACATTCAGCAGGAAACACTCCTCCGGGTCGTAGCGCTGGCCGGCCTCCCGCAGCTCCCGTGCATAGTCCCCCAGGTTGTCCGAATAGCCCTCCAGCTCCCGCAGGGAAAGGTAAGTGGGCGACATGAGCAGGCTCTCCAGGCCGAACTGGAGGAAGTTCTCAGCCGAGCCGGCGCTGGGGAAGCCCAGGAAAAGAACACCCCGACCCCGGGACAAGAAGCCCACCTTGGCCACTCGGGAGAAGGCCTTGTGAACTGCAGCACTCTCCCGGCAGAACTGCAGGACGTGGCGACAAGTGCTGCCCACCCGGCCGTAGACGCAGCTCTCCTTGTGGGTGTCCCAGTCCTCACGGCGGCAGTGCCGGGAGCAGTAGTAGGTGTAGCAGCTGTGGCAGGACTTGAAGTACAGGCAGGCGTTGAACATGGTCTCCGTCCGGCGGCACTTGGCATTGGAGCACATCATCACGTTGCCGCCCTCCTCTTCTTCCTCATCCTCATCGGCGCTCAGTTCCGGCGAAACATCTGCTGCAGATGGAGGAGGAGGCCTCTCGAAGGTGTCTGGTGGCCATCGGCCCTGGTCCTTGCGCAATTCCGCATGGAAGGCACTACGCCCCGGCTGCTCCTTGGTGGGCAGTGGCTCTGGCGCTTTCCACGACTCTGGCTTCTTTGGTGGCAAGGCCAAGCTGTCACTAATCAGCTTCCGGAGCTGTTCAGCCAGGTTGCTCACCTCGCTGGACGGGCAGAGGGAGGGCGGCTTGTAGTCGATGACCAAGTCAGTAATCAGCTCGTCCAGCTGCTCCAGGCTGCGCTGCCGAGCGGCGCTCTCCTTGGCCCCGGGGTCCAGGACATACGGCCGCGTTGGGCCACAACCCCTCTCCCGTCCGTCCCCCGAATCCAGGACATCCCAGCTAGCTGAGCGCCGGTCGCCCTTACAGAACCCATTGCCAGCTCGGATGTCGTTGTCTGTGATAGTGATCTCTGGGGTGACAAACCACCCGTGGCGCCCGACGCCGACACCATCCGAACCATGCATTTTCTCCAGGAGGGAGTTCTCTGACAGCGAGAGAGCGGCATAGCGCTTGGGCGAGCTGGAAAGGTTGACCACGACGGGTGGGCGGCGGTCATCAGGGGACAAGGCACGGTGCGGGTCACGAGCCAGAAGGTTCTCATAGCTGCGCCCACGCGAGAGGGGGTCCTCCCGGCGTGCGTGAGGCGCAAGGATATTGTCCCACGACTTAGAGTAGTGCCTCTGAGAGTCTGTGCCGAGCCGAGGAGTGGGACCAAGACTGTAGCCAGCATGCCACGAGGAAAGCATGGTGGGCGGATTAGGAGGTGGGGGTGGCTGTGGAGGCAAGCGGGATACTTGCCACGTCTGATAGGGCAGGGCGACCCCTCGGTCAGAATAATACCATTCGCTGACGTGGGGGGCACTCCGGGGGTGTGGGTAAGTTCGGGACATTGCTTCCCGCTCGTGGTATTTCCCATAGTCCTCTGCGTAGAAGACACGGGGGCTGGACGCCACGGAGGGGAAGGCCCGGGGGTCCTCAGCATAGACAGTGTTCACGGGGACTGTCCGGGAGGGGTAGAAGCGGGGGTCATCGCCATAGTAGCTACGAGCAGGGGCCTCTTGGACTGGGTAATGTGCCCGGCCATCCTCCATGAAGAACCTTCTTCCTGCCACGGGATGAAAGCTGCTCTGCAAAGGGGGCTCCTCTGCATAAATTGGCTGGGGTGGAGGGAGGACGGGTGGGCCATAATGGGGTGTGTACCCCTCATAGCCAGAGCCCTTCAGTGGGAAACCGCCTCCACTGCTGGTGGATTCCTCAGTGTAGAAGAACTTGGTTGGCACGTAAGAGGTGTAGGGCACACAACCCGCTTCCGGCAGAACAGGGGGCCCTTCATAGAAGTGATCAGCAGGGAAGGGGGGCAGCATCCGGTGGTCCCCGCTGTAGGTGTCACTAGGGGTTGGGGTCCGGGACATGGACACCTGCCGGCTGCTGGGCACGGTTAGGCTTGTGTGGGCAGTGGACGCTGGGCGCAGCGGCCAGGCCATTGGGGCCTCCCCATAACTGGGCTTAGGAGCAGTGGCGGTGCGTGCGGCATGCAGAACAGTGGCCTCATCCGGCTTGATGTCCATCCGTCGCTTAACGTGGACGGTGGGGGGCAGGGGATCCCGTGGGGCCTCCTCATAGCAGTTGGTACCAGAGACGCAGAGCGGGGAGATGCGGCTCCCTCCTCCTCCTCCTCCTCCTCGGCTACTGCGCTGGGGTTGGAGCTTGATGGGGTGCACCTCGCTCATGAGGGCCTTCATGGAGGTGTAGCCGCCCTCTCTCCGTGGCGGAGAGGCCTCCTCTCGGGGCGTCCGGTGGGCCTCGCGACCTCTCCGGACAGGGACCTGCGGGGACTGGGCCGCGGAGAGGGGCACAGCCACCGGGGCAAAGGAGGGCTTGGACCGTGGGGCGCTCTTGGACCGAGGCCGGCGCTTGGCCTCCATTGGCCGCAGGGCTTGCTCCTTGGGGGACTCCCTTCCACGGGAGTGGGCCTTGCTGGCTGTGTACTCCTCCATCAGAGCAGCCTTTGCGGATGGCTTCCGGACGGCGGGGGCGGAAGTGGGCTCCGGCGTGGGGGCCCTGCGGAAAAGGCGCTCCATGGCCGGAGAGGCTGCAGGGGCCAGGTCGCTGCCAGCGTCGTCGAGGGACTCCAGGAAGTCGAAGCTGCGGCAGTGGCGTTTGTTAAAGGGCTGGGGGTCCTGAGTTTGCCGGAAGGACGACATGGGGGTCTCGCATGGCCTGGAGGGCCGGCCGGCAGAGGCGGCGGGAAGGGAGGGGGCGGTCGCGGAGACGCGGATATCCGGACACACCGTTGAGACCAGGATGTCAGGAGGGTCCGTTCGGGTCATCTTAGAGTCCGCTCTCTGCTCCCTCACATTGTCGTCATCATCTCAGCCCAAAACGAGGCCTGGAAAGGAAAAAAGGAGGAGAAATGGGGTTTGGAGGGGGATAAAGGGTGGGCTTTCCCCCCTCTTTGCATGCATTTACACTGCAGAACCAGTGCAGTTTGACCCCACTTTAACTGCCATGGCTCTACGCTATGGCACCCTGGGATTTGTAGGCTGGGAAGAATTCCTGGGATTCTATAGCATTGAGTCATAGCTCTTAAGCTCCTCAGTGTTGGGATTCAACCCCACACTCCCCAAGTCTCAAGTCCTCAATGAGGAGAAGTCAGCATTAGAATGGTCTGAAGGTTTCTTTTCCCCCATGTCTCTTGATTGATAGTTGGGAATTTATTTCATTTCTCTTTCTGCTCTCATTCTGATTGGTTGTTTAGAAGGGATACTTTTTTACTACAAGCCTTTTTGAATCTGACTTGCCTTATTACACTTTCGTATGGAGAGTATGTGCTGTGTGCTTTGAGATCTCTCTCTTCTTGTGCATCAGGAGAGATGGGGTGATTGAGTTTTTCCCTCTCTTGAGACCTCAGAAGAGGTGGGTGTTAAGAGTAGCTCAGACAGAGTTCTTGATTATTAAGAAATGCAATTATTATTCTTATACAATTTCTTATGATTTTGCGATTTTTTAAAAGATTGGACTCTGCATGTTTGCCTACCTAAGCTCTGAATTCTTTACAGCCACATCACACAGCACCTCACGCTCTGCTCGCAAATGAGCTGAATAGGGCAAGATGGATGGATGGTATCCTTGAAGTGACTGGATTGACCTTGAAGGAGCTGGGGGTGGTGACGGCCGACAGGGAGCTCTGGCGTGGGCTGGTCCATGAAGTCACGAAGAGTCAGAAATGACTGAATGAATGAACAACAACAGCCTAAGTCTGTGAGAGGTCTCTGTGGGGGAAGGGCCTCAGTGTGAGGTAGGCCTCAGTATGAGAAGGCCTGGTGTGAGAAACTTCGGTGAAAGAAACCCCAGGTTGAAGGCCATTGTGTGTGAAGGCTCCTGTGTGTAAAAATCTACTGTGTAACTTCAGTGTGAGAAGAGGCTCTGTGAGAGTGAAGCTGTTTATTTGCATGAGAAAGAAGCCCAGCGTGGAAGCGAAGAAGGAAGTATAAAGTACCGTTTTTGAATCTCGTTTTTGTAAATAGTGCATAATATTTTGCTATAAAGAAAAGCCTCATATGGAAGAAATAACATCGGTCTGTGTCCCCCCAGGGGTGAGAAAGGCAATATATAAATACTGTAAATAAATAAATAAATAAATAAATAAATAAATAAATAATTTTAATCACTTTGAGTTACTGGTGCTGGCTCACGCTGCTGTTAATAAGTTACTCTGCTGTACATTTATGAGGAGGGTCTTTTGTTAATAAGCCCACTCTCCCAACCCCCTTTTCTATTCTGAGGCCACATTCAAGAAAGGGGGACCCTGGAAGTTCAGACTGGGGTCCAACCTGGACTCACTTGCTCAGGTACGTTCCTTCCCCAAAGTTACCTGGACTGGGTATGTGACCCTGATCTTGCCCTATTATCATTTTCAACATGCATTGAGTTATGAGTCCCTTACCTGTCTGCAGGACGGTTGGTTTATACACAGGCAACACTGGCCTCGCCTGACCCCTCGGCTCCATCCTAAGCTGCAAAGAGATACAGAAAACCTATGTCAGAGTCTGCCCCAAACAATCCCCATATCCTTTACCTAAGTCCTTTTGGGCAGGGTCCTTGCAGCCCTTTTCAGAAAGAAGGAATGAATGAGAAAGAAAATAAAGGAAGTAAGGAGGAAAGGAAGAACGGAGGCTGGCAAGGAAGGAGGGAGGTAGACAAGCCAGGAAGGAAGGAGAGAGTAAGGGAAGAAGAGAGAGAAGAAAGGGAAAGAATGAAGGAAAAGAAAGACAATGAAGGCATGGAGCGAGAGGGAAAACAAAGGAAGACAGAGAGAGAGGAAAAGAGAGAGAGGAAAGGAAGAAAAACAAGGAAGGATTGGAGCAAAAAGAAAGGATGAAATGAGGGAAGGAAGACAAGGAGGAAGGGAGGGAGGAAGACAAGGAAAGAATGACAGAAGAGAAAGGGAGGAAGGGAAGGGAAAAGGAAGAAAGAACTGGAGCAGGAAGGATGAAATGACAGAGGGAAGACAAGGAAGGAAGGAAAAGGATGGAAGGAGAGGAGGGAGGAAGGGAAAGAAGGAAGGAAGGGAAAGGGAGGCAAGAAAGAAAGGGGGGAGGAAGACAAGGAAGGAAGGAAGGAAGGAAGGAAGGAAGGAAGGAAGGAAGGAAGGAAGGAAGGGAAAAGAATAGAAGGAAAGGAGGAAGACAGGAAGAAAGAAGGGAAGACAAGGAATGAAGGAAGAGAATGGCAGGGAGGGAAAGAAAGACTTGAGCAGGAATTAAAGACGAAATGAGTGAAGGAAGACAAGGAAGGAAGAGAAAGGAATGGAAGGAAAGGAAGAAGACTGGAAGGAAGGGAGGGAGGGGAAGGAAGGGAGGGAGGGGAAGGAAGGGGAGGAAAGAAGGAAGGAAGGAAGGAAGGACTAGAGCAGAAGAAAAGATGAAGTAAGGAAAGGAAGGAAAGAAGAGAAAGGGATAAAAGGAAGAGAGGAAGGGAGGGAGGAAGGATTTGAGCAGGAATGAAAGATGAAATGAGAGAAGACAAGGAAGGAAGGAAGGATGGAGGAGAGGGAAAGAGGAAGGAAGAGGAAAGGGAAAAAAGGGAAGGAAAGAAAAGAAAGGAAGGAAGGAAGAAGGAAGGAAGGAGAAGAAAAAAAGGAAGGAAGGAAGGAAGGAAGGAAGGAAGGAAAGGGGGAAGGAAAAGAAGGAAGGAGGGAGGGAAGGGAAAAAGGAAGGGAGAGGAAGGAAGGATGAAATGAAGCCAGGAAGACAAGGAAGGAAGAGAAAGGAATGGAAGGAAAAGAGGAAGGGAAAAGAAGGGAAGAAAGGAAGGAAACCCAGCACTTATGGGGATTGATTGGTAGATTGTGGGTTACTGTTAAAAAGAGCCATACTTCTAAAGCATACTATACCTTCCCATAAGTTCTGTGTTGACTTGATATACATATTAAAACAAAAAAGGGGGTGACAAAAGCCATATTGGTTTTAGTTCCTATTTAAAGCCATATTCTATGTAGATATATGTCTTTGCCTTGACCGCTGTGCTCCTCTGAGCAGGGCCTTCTCTACACAAGTCACTCTGCAGGAACGCTCTTAAAGGGCCAGTACATTTCTGGTGGTCAGTGATCTTCCTGGGCAGCGTTTTCGCCTTGGAAGTGGATGGATGCGGAGACTCACCAGTTGGCATTCACCAGGGTTCTCCCTCACACACACGGTTGCCATGGTTGCCTGACACACAGGCGCACACACGCATCGGAAGCAGGGGCAAGGCATGATGGGAAATTCTTTCCTTGGCAGGAATGGGATGCAGAGCGATTTTGGCCGGAGCTGGACAACGGGTCAATGACCCGGAGCCGCGGGCGGTCAAGTAGAAATAAGAGAGAGGAAAAGGAGGAGTGGGGCCTTATTCACATCCATGTCCTATTATTATTATTATTATTATTATTATTATTATTATTATTATTATATTCTGTTTTATGCCTATTGAGATAAAACAGCATTAAAATCCACAATATATAAATATTTAAAAGGAATTACACATATAATAAATACATAAATAAATAATTTATAGCCTGCTCTGGATTGAGATACATCAATCTCTGTATGTCTATGTTATGTATGTATGTATACACACACATACACAAAAACACACATTGCCTGCAAGGCAGCAAGACTTTTAAGCTAATGGAGGGTTTCATTAATGGTTTTGTGTCCTGAATAAAGTGGGTCTCATTGAGCCTTTGGGAATGAAGCATCCCAATGGACTAAAAGCCCCAAACAATAACAGGAGAGTATGATTTTAGGCCTTTCATTCGTCGGGCCAAAAGGAAAATGGGTAACAAATTCCTCCGAAAAAAAGATTGATTTCCCCAATGTTTGCCTTTCTGCAAAATAATATTAACAGTAGCCTCTTTTAAGAGATAGGAAGCAGGATAGAAATGATAATAACAACAATAATAGCATATTTATCCATTATATTGTTATTATTAGTGTTATAGTATACATAGTAGCTTCTACTGTACACAGATGTTGTATTCATCCCTTGCTCTGAGATGATGGTTGTTGTTGTTGTTGTTGTTATTGTTATTATTATAGAAGAGCTTGTATCCATTCCAAGATGAAAATAATATCTCATATGTCTTTCTTGGAAGAGGGAACATTCTCTCAGTCCAAATCAGAGCCATTAATTCAACCAGACTCAATGCGTTTGACTGAGGAGGATTGAGAGAATGGAGCCTCAATTGCAATAATAACCACTGAAAGTCATAATAGTTTGGGAATAATAAGCATATCAATTGCAACAATGTTGATAAATGCATAATTGTTTGGTAATGATATGAGTTGAGACTCATGTAATAATAATATTAATAATCATATCAATTGCAATAATAATCACTCATAATAATTTCGTGTTTGGTAATGCCAATAATATCTGTTGCAATAATGACTTAATAATAATGTAATAATAATTATTATAATAATAATAGCAATATTAACCACATAATTTCATAAGAGTTTAGCAATAATAATCATCATATCAATTGCAATAATAATAATAAGAAGAAGAAGAAGAAGACGATGACGACGACAAAGACCCGGCGTTGTCCATAGACACTGTCCAGGTCATGTGGCTGGCATGACTGCATGGAATGCTGTTTACCTTCTCGCCAGAGCAGTACCTATTGATCTACGCACATTTGCATGTTTTTGAACTGCTAGATTGGTGGAAGCTGGGGCTAACAGCAGGAGCTCACCCCGCTCCCCGCATCTGAACCTGTGACCTTTCAAACAGCAATTTCAGCAGCTCAGCAGTTTAACCCATTGGGCCACTGGGGGCTCGATATTATTACACAATGATAATTACTTGATCATGATGAAATAATAACAACAATATCAATTGCAATAATAACCACGTAATGTCATAATAGTTTGGTAATAATAATACCAATTGCAATAATATTAATTTAATAATCACTTGGTAATAAAAGCAATTGCAATCATAACTGGATAATAATAATAATAATAATAATAATAATAATAATAGATCGCACTGCAAAGACTCTGGTACAAGCCAGTCAATGCAGTTCCAGTAGTGATGGGCACACTGGGTGCAGTGCCTAAAGACCTTGGCCTGCACTTAAACACAATCGGCGCTGACAAAATTACCATTTGTCAGCTGCAAAAGGCTACCCTACTGGGATCTGCACACATTATTCGCCGATACATCACACAGTCCTAGACACTTGAGTGACCAAATGCAAAAGCCAGCATAGGGATCTTGTTTGCTGTGTACATCTTGTTGTGTATCAAATAATAATATTAATAATAATCTTTATTTATACCCCGCCACCATCTCCCCAACAGGGATTCGGGGCGGCTTACATGATATAATAATTATTATAGATTTATTACCCACCTCTCCTTTTGCTGTGGACGCATCTTGTTGTGCTTCAAATAATAATAATATCAACTGCAATAATAATCACTGAATGTCATCAATTTGGTAATAATAAGCATATCAATTGCAATAATAATAATAATAATTTCATAATCATTTGGTAATGATTATACCAGTTGCAATAATTACTTGCTCATGTAATAATGCATTATAATAATGCAATGATAACCCCTAATCATTACCAGATTATGAAATTATTATATGAAATAATAATAATTTCATAATCATTTGGTAATCATATCAGTTGCAATAATTACTTGCTCATGTAATAATACATTATAATAATGCAATAACCACTTATGATTACCAAATTATTAAATTATTATATGCAATAATAATAATAATTTCATAATCATTTGGTAATGATAATATCAGTTGTAACAATCACCTGATCATGTAAGAATACAATATAATAATGCAGATTATGGAATTATTATATCAATAAGATAATATATTATTATATTGCCATAATAACTTAATCATAATCATGTCATAGTAAGGATGCCCTCTCCTTGCAAGGGCTTCTCCAACCCAGGATGTCTTTCCTCCAAATGAGTTGCAATGGGGAAATAGGGGGGGAAATCCGGATGACCCCCTTTTCCTCCTGATTGCAGAAGGCCATTGCTTTCTCTTGCAGCTTGTGATGGAGATGATCACAGCAGCAATGGGAAAGGGCCTTCAGCCTCCACCTTGCACCGCTAAGACTCACCTGCTGCTGCTGCTCCTCCTTCTGTTGCTGCAAAGGCGGCTCCCTTCTCCTCCTTTTTTTCCTCCTTTCCTTCTCCTTCCCATCCGCACCTGCGCCGGGTCCAGCGCGAAAGATGTCAGCGTCCGCACCGCCGCCTAACAGCGCCCTCTTCAGGCCGCGCCAGGGAACAGCCGCTTAGGCGACGCCTCCCATTTGCATTGCCTGGGCTTGCGTTGCAGGGTTGCCTTGCTTGGCATTGCACTGCACTCAGGATCCACCTTTTGAGGGGTCTCCAGCTCTCAAATCCCGCCTTTCTGGGACTAGAACTCCCGGATTCCTCCTCTTTCGGGTGTCGACTCCCCTATTCCACCTTCTATTTGGACTCCAGCTCCCAGAATCCACCTTTCTGTGGACCAGAACTCAAGGATTCCACCTTCTGGGGACTACAAACCCCACAATCCGCTTTAGATTCCACCCTTTGCAGACCACAATCCATCCACACCAGAACCCCCAACTCTCAGGGTTGGACTATAACTCCCATTATCCCCCTCCTTTGGGAACTACAGATCCCACCTTTCTGGGACTAGAACTCTTGGATTCTGCCTCTTTCGGGTGTCAACTCTCCTACACCTTTCACTTGGACTTCAGCTCCCAGAATCCACCTTTCTATGGACCAGAACTCAAGGATTCCACCTTCTGGGGACTACAAACCTCACAATCCCTCTTTCTGGGACTACATAACCCCATAATCCGCTTTAGATTCCATCCTTTGCAGACCGCAATCCACCCAAATTGGAACCCACTGTTTATTGGGACCCCCAACTTACAGGATCAGGCTCCAATTCCCATTATCCACTTCCTTTGGGAACTACAGATCCCATCTTTCTGGGACTAGAACTTCCAGATTCCGCCTCTTTTGGGCATCAACTCCCCTAGTCCACCTTTTATTTGGACTCCAGCTCCCAGCTCGACCTTCCTGTGTACTAGAACTCAAGGATTCCACCTTCTGGGGACTAAAAACCCCACAATCCCCCTTTCTGGGACTCCAAACCCCACAATCCCCCTTCTGGGACTACAAAACCCCACAATCCGCCTTAGATTCCACCTTTTGCGGACCACAATCCCCCCAACTGGAACTCACGGCTTATTGGGACCCCCAGCTTTCAGGATCAGACTACAACTCCCATTGTCCCCCTCCTTTGGGAACTAAAGATCCCCAAATTCACCTATTTGTGGAGTTACAGTCCCAAAGGACGCTGTGACACCTGCATTGACCTTCCTGTGATGCTGAGCCCTCATGGTGGGTGGATACTGGGAATTGTAGTCTTTGTAGAGATGTATGAAAAAGCAAATAAAAAATATGTTCAATCCACATCCAATGGATCAGAAATCCATGCTCGGTTTTGCAGAGCTCCCAAAGGCCTCTTTTGAGGCGCACTTTGCAGTGAATGGATTCAGGGCTTTGGAGGGCTCCCCTTAAACCCGGACTGGATTCCCGGATTGGTGTCCAAATACTTGTTTTCTTCTTCTTTGGTGGGGGGGGGGCTTGTTGGCACCCACTCAAAGCTGCCAGGCTGCCATGGCAATAGACCTCATCTGTGGGAACAGACTTAAATAATCTCAAATGTGTGGTTTTACTATGTTTTCAAGGCAAAGTTTCATTCCTGCTCCAGGGCCGAAGAAGAGAGGATTCAAACCCAGGTCCAGCTCAGCACAATGAATCCGAACCCCGACCCAGAACACTTTTATTGCTCACTATAAACATTGGGCTCGAGCTCAGATGCAGAGACATTTAAGAAGCAGTTGGAAGTGATGCGGCCTTCGGGATCGCATTGGCCTTTTTAGCTGCCGCATCACACTCCTGGCCCATGTTCAATTTATTATGATAGTAATACTATAATACTAATAAATACTAATTTCCCTTTGTTCTGGAAATTAGACTCCTCTTGATGCAGTCTAGCACAGGCCTGGGCCAACTTGGGTCCTCCAGGTGTTTTGGACTCCAACACCCACAATTCCTAACCGCCTCAGCCGCTTAAGGCTAGAATCGCACTGGCTTTTTTAGCTGTTACATCACTATTGGCTCATGTTCAACTTGTGCTCCACTAAGACTCCTAGAGCCTTTGCATGTACAATTGTCAAGTCATATCCTATACTAGCTGTACCCTGCCACGCGTTGCTGTTGCCCTCAGAAACAAAGGAATTCCACTTGGAGCAATAGACAGAAGGGACAGATGGAAGGGACATTGATGGAACAGAAGGTAGATGGATAGAACATAGATAGGTAGGCAGGCAGATGGAGTGATTGATGGATGGAAGGATGGATGGACAGACATCCTTACAGCCAAAGGGGGTTGGACTGGATGGCCTCTGGGACTCCCTTCCAACTGGCTGACCATCTGTCGGGAGGGCTTTGATGGTATCTTCCTTTACTGTAAAATGAGGTTGGACTGGATGGCCTTTGGGGCTGCCCTCCAACTGGATGGCCATCTGTTGGGAGGGCTTTGATAGTGTCTTTGTGAGTGAAGAACATACACTGGTTTAGTTGGTGTATTGTGTCCAAATTTGGTGTCAATTCGCTCAGTGGTTTTTGAGTTATGTAAATCCCACAAACTAACTTTTAATTTTTATTTATACAAATTAACTTCCTTAATCTGGACACTAGATTCCTCTTGATACATCCTAGAATCACACTGGCCTTTCTGGCTGCAGCTTCACAGTCTTGGCTCATGTTCGACTTATGATCCCCTAAGACATCCCTTTCACATGGATATCTACATAAATAAAAATGTAATGTTTGTTCGTGGGATTAACATAACTCAAAAAACATTGAAGGGATTGACACGAAACTTGGACACTACACCCCCAACAAACCAATGAGTGACCATCACTCACAAAACCCCCAAAAACACAACGGCAAGGACTTGAAATCCTCCAAAAGCTAAATTACGATATAGCGCATGCGTGGAAATGACTCCCTTGGCCCCGCCCCCTTCCTGTGCGAGGGAAAAGAAAACAAACAGCCACTCCAGCTCTCCTTTGCCCATGCCTGTAAAAGGTCCAAGGTGGGGAAAAGAACACAAGTCTGGAATTCCTCTGAGGGCCACGGCAACACATGGCCAGGTACGGCTAGTATTTATATAATGGGTCATGACTTCCTTAGACACTATTCTCTTACTGATACAGCCTAGATTCACATTGATCTTTTTCGCTGCAGCACCACACTCGACTCATGTTCAGCTTGTGATCCACCAAGACCCCTAGATTCCTTTCACTTGCACTGTTTCCAAGCCAGGCATCGTTCCCCCACCCCACAGTCTATATTTTTGCCTTTCATTTCTTCCGCCTTTAGACCCCATGTAAACCCCGCTTCAGCCATTGCCCCCCATGAACAAAACCAGGGTCCGACAGCCGTACAACCAAGAGCTTTATCGGTCGGAAGGGGGGGGGGAGGAGGAGGAGTGTACCATTATTGGGGTCATCTTCGCCCCCCAAATATATATATATATAAAACAAAAAATAGAACACAACCAGGACTGGCTCAGATGCGGATTATGGTGGCGAGAAAAGGAGTGTTTTGATATCGTTGGGGAGGGGGAGGTCCTTTCTGAGAGTTTAACGCCCTCCGACGAAGGCCGAGACCAAGATACCTGAGATGTCCATGCAGTTGTTAAAAGTGAAGGAGTTTCAAAAAGGGGGGGAGCAGGATGCAAACGCACCCCCCCCAAAAAACACAAAAGGGAGCTCCCCATGTTCAGCCCCGTTAGAGGAATGTTCTATGTAATGCTGACATATAGCAACAAAGCAAAGCGATAGGCCACATTTCCTTCATTTTTGGAGGGGGAGAGAAGACACAGCAAAAAAAAAAAAAAGGATATGCAAATACCTTGATATCTTTTGGGGTGAGAAAAACACAGCAATGCCAAAACATATAGATGCAAAGGAAAGGTACACACACACACACACGTGTATACACATACATACACAGTAGAGTATTGCTTATCCGACATTTTGTCTTATCCGACGCTCTTATCCCTCCTTTTTCTCCAGCATTTCCGTATATTCCTTTGTGTGTATTTATGTATGCGCATATACATAAGACACACACACAGTAGGGTCTGGCTTATCCGACATTTCGTCTTATCCAACGCCCTCCTTTTCCTTCAGCATTTCCTTATATGCATGTGTGTGTATATGTATGTATGTATGTGTGTGTATACACACACACACGCGCGCACACACATACACACACACACGGAATAGGGTCTTGCTTATCCGACATTTCGTCTTATCCAACGCTCTCATCTGATGCCCTCCTTTTCCTCCAGCATTTCCGTAATGCCTGTGTGTATATGTATGTATGTATGTATGTGTGTGTATACACACACACACACACACACACACACACACACACACGAGTAGGGTCTTGCTTATCCCACATTTCATCTTATCCGACATTTCGTCTTATCCAACGCCCTCCTTTTCCTTCAGCATTTCCGTATATGCCTGTGTGTGCATGTATGCGCGTGCATACACACACACAGAGTAGGGTCTTGCTTATTTGACATTTAATCTTATCTGACATTTCGTCTTATACAACGCCCTCCTTTTCCTTCAGCATTTCCTTATATGCCTGTGTGTATGTATGTGTATACACACACACACATACACACACACCGAGTAGGGTCTTGCTTATCCGACATTTCGTCTTATCCAACGCTCTCATCCAATGCCCTCCTTTTCCTCCAGCATTTTCGTATATGCCTTTTTGTTTATGTATGTGTCTATGCGCATATATACACATACACAGTACGGTCTTTCTTATCTGACCTTCACTTATCTGACATTTCATCTTATCTAACAGTCTTATCCAACACCCTCTTTTTCCTCCAGCATTTCCGTATATGCCTGTGTGTGTATGTATGTATGTATGCGCACATAAATAAATATAACAATAATAATACATACAGAGAGAGTAGGGTCTTGCTTATTCGACATCAACGAGCCATCAGAACATCGGATAAACAAAAATGTCGGATAATACGGAGTCTCCTCTTTTTACCCATCTGACGGAGTGCTAGGCACCTAGAATACTAACAAACAGGGACTCAAAGAGTTAAGGCAAGGCAACGCCCCGGGGCTAAAGGGCCCAGCAGGAAGTGCCCAGATGATGTGGAAGAGGAATGTGGAAATCCAAGAGGGAAGGAGGAGGACGCTTCCACTTCTGGTCCTGCCTCTTTTCCCACTTTCCTCCCTCCTCCTTGTCTTGCCTTTTTCACTTATTAGGAATGGAGGAGAGGTAGTTGGGGAGCACTCTTGTAATTGAAGGGGAAATGCTGGAGGAACATTGGATAAGACAAAAAGTCGGATAAGCGAAGGTCAGATAAGTGAGACTCTATTGTGTGTGTGTGTGTGTGTGTATATATATATATATATATAATATGCACATATAGCAAGACTCTGTGTATATATCTATATATATATACATATATATACACACACATATATGTATATGTGTGTATATATATGTGTGTTCATATAGTGCGACTCTACTGTATATATATATATATGCACACATACACACATATGTGTTTATATATGTGTGTGTGTGCATATAGTGCAACTCTATTGCATATATATATATATATACATACATACACACATGTATATATATGTGTGTGTATATATATATAATATGCACACACACATATATATAGAGAGAGAGAGAGCAAAGGAGGAAAGGACTGATTGACATACTCACCAATAAAGCAAGAGAGGAGCTGGATTCACACAGGATAAACATGCAGCAGTTCAGGATGAAAAGGGGAGGGGCAATAGGCTCCCCCCCCATTTAAGCAAAACAAACAAACAAGCAAACAAAAGATGCATATGGTAAATATAAAAAGCAGGCCAGGATGCAGACAGGTGAGGAAGGGGTTATTTGGGGTCAAGGAGGGACCTCAAATAACCTTTGATGGAGGGAGGGGTCCACCCCAATTAGTCCTCATTAATAATATTATCAATATGATCGAAAGGCCTCACAGACCTTCAATGGAGGGGTAGGGTCACCCCAGTGAGCCCTCTTTAAGAAATAATATGATTGTAAACACTCTCTTCCCAACCTCAAAGGGGTTTTGAAAAGGGGGCACACCTTTACTTTTGCCCCCCAAACTGCACAGCAGCCAGCAAAGTAGGACCACCCTCCATTTTGGGACGAGACCCTTCCTCTCTTCTTTCAAGGACTCCCCGCCCCGCCCCCCAAAAAAATAGAAAAAGCTCTCAAAAGCCAAAGACGAGCAGCTGATCCGTGACTATGTCTCGGGTACAAAAATAGCGAGGGCCCATTGTTTTCGAGGGGGATTTATGGGGTGCAAAGAGCAAGAGTTCTGCCATTATTTCTTGCATGATTATTTTGGGAGTGGAGAGGAGTCAGGACTTGCTCCCCTTGGTTTGCATGAGAGAGGCCTAGCAGCAAGGCCTTGGCTTCGCTATTTTTCAACTGAGAGAGAAAAATAGCCTTTTTTCTGCCATTTTGTTTCTGAAAGGGGGAGGGGGGTTTCAAGCAGTCTTAAAGGAGGGAGGGAAGAAGCCAGGAAGAGCCACCAAGGGCTTTGTCTTCCCCCCAAAATTCCCCATCTTTGGCGGCCATCTTTTTGCGGTTGCTCTCCCTACAGCTCCTCATAGTCCCCGCCCCCTTGCTGCTTGGTAGGCCCCGCCCCCCGCCCTCCCAGGAAGGCCTCCAATTCGTCGATCTCGCTGCCGCCCTTCTCTTTGCTCCGCCTCTTTCTCCTGGGCTTCTTCTCCTCCTTCCCTTCCTCCTTCTCCTTCTCCTTCTTGGCGCGGCTCTTCTTCTTCCCCGAGGCCTTGTCTTCCTCCTGGAAGAAAGCACAGCGCTGACTGTATTAAATCATATTGTCATACTATTTATAAAGGTTGTGGGTGAACTACAACTCACATCATGCAGGTTAACCCCCTGAAACTCCATCAGTACTTAGTTTGTTATGTTGGGCAGGAATGCTTTAGATGCACCATTGGTGGGGTTCAGTGTGCTCTCTGACCATAGGGTAAACTACAACTCCCAATATGGTGAGTCAGTCCCCTCCAACCCCTCCAGTAGGTTGAGTTAGTCATGGGGTTCTGCATGCCAACTAAGGTCCAGGTCCATCATTGGTGGACATCACAGTTTCCCTGGTTTTGAGTGAACTACAATTCCCAGAAAGGAAAGTCAGTTCCCTCCAAACCCCTCCAGTAATCGAATTTCGGCATATCAGGTATGTGTGGCAAGTTTGGTCCAGCTCCATCGTTGTCTGGGTTCACGGTGCTCTCTGAATGTAGGTGAACTACAACTCTCCCAAATCAAACTTGAATTTCCTCCAAAGTCCTCCAGTATTTTTTGCTGGTCATGGGGGCTCTGTGTGCCAAGTTTGGTCCAATTCCATCTTTGGTGGAGTACAGAGTAGTCATTGATTGCAGGTGAACTATAAATCCCAGTACCTACAATTCCAAAATGTCCAGGCCAATTCCTCTCAAAACCCATCAGTATTCAAATTTGGATATACAGTGTTCCCTCGCTATTTTGTGGTTCGCTTTTCACAAACTCGCTGTTTCGCGGGCTTTTACCTCCTGGCAACAATGGAGTGTGGAAGGGGGTTTCACCCTCCCCCTCGGGAGAGAGGCAGCCAATCATAGAAAAGGAGAGGGAGGAGATACAAAGCAGTATGTAAATCACGGCCTTATAGTCCCTTCCTTATAACTAGGGGGGGAAAAGGTGCATGGTGCCTTTAAATCTCTCCTCACTTCTGCCTCTCCTGTAGAATGCGATAGATAGATAGATAGATAGATAGATAGATAGATAGATAGATAGATAGATAGATAGATAGATAGAGATATAGCATGTCCCTACTTCAAAATTTTTCACTTTTCATGGATGGTCCTGGAACGTAACACCCGCATAAGTGAGGGAACACTGTATTTGGCATGCATGCCAAGTCTGGTCCAGATCCATCATAGTTTGGGTTCAGAGTATGCTCTGGATGTAGGTAAACTACAACTCCTATAAACCTCTCCAAAAAACTCCAGTATTTTTTGCTGGCCACGGGGGTTCTGTGTGCCAAGTTAGTTCCAGGTCTATCATTGGTGGAGTTCAGAGTGCTCTTTGACTGCAGGTGAACTATACATCCCAGGACCTACAACTTCTATAAATCATGGTGAATTCTCCCCAAACCTCTCTGGTATGATCAATTCCTGTTTGCTGTGTGCCAAAGAAAAGAATAGGGAGAGGCAGTGGGCGGGGTCATGCAAATTCCACACCAACTGAGAGCGTCAGAAACACTGGGATATCTGTGGTGGAGGAAACACATAAAAATAAGGGAAAGGCAGTGGGCAGGGTCATGCAAATTCCACACCAACTGAGAGCGTTAGAAACACTGGGATGTCTGTGGTGGAGGAAACATAAAAATAAGGGAAAGGCAGTGGGCGGGGTCATGCAAATTCCACACCAACTGAGAGTGTCAGAAACAGTGGGATGTCTGTGGTGGAGGAAACACGTAACAATAGGATGAAATGGTCCCCGTATGAAAGCTTTCACTTGTGTGGTGGGTGGTAAGGTGTTTGTGGAGGACATTGGCAGGGCTTGGGATACATGTTCATGGCACTCTATGTAACCTGCAATGTTATTGGAAGGAAGGCCATTGAGTAGTGGGATCTAAAACTATTTGTGGAAGTGGGAGCCTGTCTGTGTAAGTGGACACCCCAGCCACATACACACATACATGTTTTCACTTTTATTATCTGTATAAATATATAGATATATATATAGATGATTAATTCAATTTTCAAAACCCGCCAACATATTATTACCTTATTTTTATTCTATCTTCAAAACTCACCAGTGTGTTGTTGTTGTTGTTGTTATTATTAATAATAATAATTCAATTTTCCAACCCCACTAGTGTGGCTGTTGTTATGCTCCACCTCCTCCTCACACTGTGAAAGTGCTGTGATGTTGCTTCCAACCCTATAGCTGCCTCCTATGGAGCCCTGGGTTTTGCAGTTTAGGATTTGGGCCCTTGAGGCCTCCTTGGACTACAAATCCCAGCAAATAGCCATTGTAGTCAAGGTGGCATCATTCAACATCTCCCCCAGCATCCTAACACTTCTTAATAGCTTGGGTCTGGAAGCACATTTCTGTAAATGAGGCAGAGGATTCTGGGATTTGCTTACTTGTCTTTTGGGCCCCATGGATAGAAGGCTCAGGTGGGCCCACCCAATGCATGCAAGTGGCCAGAAACAACCTACCTCCTTGCTGCTCCTCTTCTTTTTCTTCTTCTTCTCCTTGGAGGATGCCTTCTCTTTCTCTGAACGAAAGATAAGAGCAACTGAGCTGACAGACAAAACGGCAATGCAACAGAATAAGACACAACTGAAGACCCATGGTAACTTGTAACTTTTAACCTGCATGTTATCGCTGCGGTTCAATATATACAGATGTGCCTGTAACTTAATAGCCCTCAGCCTGTGAGAAGTCTCTGTGTGTTATTAGGCCTCAGCCTGTGAGAAGTCTCAGTGTGTTATTAGGCCTCATTATGAGTAGGTTAGTTAGCCTCATTATGAGTAGGTTAGTGTTAGTTCGCCTCAGTGTGAGAGAGGTGTCAGTCTGAGAGAGCCCTTTGTGTGAGATAGGCCTCAGTATGAGAAGATCTCATGTGTGAAGCTCCAGTGTGTGAAGGCTGCTGTGTGTAAAGCTACTGCTGTGATATCATTAGTAATACTGCATGTAGTGTAGGGTATATGGCTGTAGTACTGCATTGTTATTATTAGTATTATATTGTATTACATTGTGATGTTATGGATGTTGCATGTATATACAATATATTATATTGTATTATTACTAAAGCACAGGAGACAGGATGGAACTGTCTTCTGGCCCCCTCTCTCTTCACTCTGGGATGCAACGGCTTACAAGATATATATACTTACAATGTATTATATTATTAGCATAGTACAATATACATAGTACAATTAAGTATTACTATATTGTACTATACCATGGGCCGGAGGTTTAGCACAGCTGGTAAATCATCAGCAACTATAAGATCTATCAACCAAAAGGTTGCAAGGTCGAACCCCGGGTTGGCGTGGGCAGCCAACCGTCAGCCCTGCCCACTGTTTACCTAAGCAGTTCAAAAACAGCTATAGTTGTAATTAGAGAAATTAGGTACCGCTAAAAAGCGGGGGAGGTGTTTTACAACGTCATAAAGAAAAAGAAGATCAGAAAATACTGGAATGAGGAAGTCCTGGCGGATTTTCATCATAGAGGATGGAGTGACAGCACCCCATGTGGCACAACACAAAAACCTCCTTCTGTTCTGTCTATGTACTGTGTACTATCTATACAAACGGCATTGAATGTTTGCCGTGTATGTGTACTTGTGATCCGCCCTGAGTCCCCTTCGGGGTGAGAAGGGCGGAATATAAAGTGTTATTATTATTATTATTACTGTGTGAAGCTCCTGTGTAATAATATAATATGATATAATACATTGTATATACATACAGAATCAGCTTATAGAAGACAATGATGCTGGGGAAAATGGAAGGAAAAAGGAAGAGGGGCAACCAAGGGCAAGGTGGATGGATGGTATCCTTGAAGTGACTGGATTGACTCTAAAGTAGCTGGGGGAGGTGACAGCCGACAGGGAGCTCTGGTGTGGGATGGTCCATGAGGTCACAAAGAAATGACTGAACGAATGAACCTCATGGGCCATCCAGTCCAACCCCCTGTCAAGAAGCAGGAAAATTGCATTCTACACATATTTATAATATTATAATGTAATACAAAATAATACTACTACTAATAATAATACAACATTATAATTATATGAGTCTCCTTCGAGGTGAGAAGAGCAGCATATAAAATGGTATAGTACAATAGTACTATATTCTATCTTAAAAAGTCACCTAATAATGCTAATAATATAATATATTGTATGTATATAATAATAATAATAATAATAATAATAATAATAATAATAATAAAAAAACTTTATTTACGCCCCACCACCATCTCCCCAAGGGACTCGGAGCAGCTTATATGAGGCCAAGCCCGACAACACATCAATAAAACAGAAAAGCAATAAACAAAAAACAATACAATTAATATAAATCACATATAAACAATAACACACAAGGATTTAAAAACCTATGGCCAGGCCAAATGTAATAGTTTAAAATTAAAAAATAAACACTGGGCATGCACAGAGGTAGGATGTATATGGTAGGAGAGTTTTAAAAGAAATGAAGGGAGAGTAATCCAATGAATAGTTAAAGTGCTTCTGAGGACATTTTGCTGGGAATTATTTCCTTATTTCCTTATATATCTTGTGAGCTGCTCTGAGTCTCCTTTGAGGTGAGAAGGGCGGCACATAAATATTGTAAATAAATAAATAACTGGGTGTGTGATGAAGCTTTGTGAGAGCAAAGCTTTTTATCTGCATGAGAAAGAAGTCCAGCATGGAAGCAAATAAGAAAGTATACAGAACTTTGTTCATGTTATGGAAACCTTGTTCTTGTAAATAGTGCAACCATATTATTTTGCTATAAAGAAAAGCCTCCTATGAAAGAGATAACATTGGTCTGTGTGTTTTTGTTCTTTCTGCTGGGTCACGTTGCTGCTGCTAAGTTATTCTGCTATGTTTATGATGAAGGTCTTTTCATAGACAACAATTCAATACCGACACAATATAATAACATAACACCCCATTTTTAGGGCTATTTTCATGGGACAGAATCATGGACCCCCAAACTCACCTTCCTCGCTGCTCTCCTTGGGGCCGGCCTCATCCAGGCCCAGGCCAAAGAGGTCTGCGTCACCCTTCGCCTTGAAGGCGTGGATGATGGGCTTCAGAGGCTGCGGAGGAGGGGGCCTGGAAGGGGCTTCTTCGTCTGAGACGTCCGAGAGGTCCTCCTCTCTCACCGGAAACTCCGCCTGGGAGAAAGAGAGGAAGCAGTCAAGGGCCATGGCCACCCAAAATGACCCTTTAGGGGGCCAGTTTCCCCTTCTTCTTCCTCTTCTTCCCAAAAGCCTTTAGTGCTTCGTGCCTCTTTGTTTGAGAAGGGAGTGCCTTCGTTTCCCAGAAAACTCCAGACTGAGCCATCGAAAAGAGAGAAAACAAGCCCAAACTGGGAAGCCTCATTCCAAGCCATAATGGAACACTTCCAGCATTGCAATCTCTATTCTAGTTAATCCCAATCCCTCCGTTTGTGTCTCTTTCAATCTTGAGTTAACAACATGGTACCACTTCCCACTCTGTGATTCCATCTATATATATAAAAATGCTCTGTGCATAATGAGTACCTTAAAAACAAAAGAAGCAATGAACAAAATCACACCAAATTTGGCAACAAAACATCTCACAACACAAGGAGTGACCATCACTCAAAAAATTATGATTTTGTCATTTGCGAGTTGTAGTTGCTGATGGCTAGTCTTATATATATATCATATCTATTTATTATATCTGGCTGGATGGCCCTCTGCTGGGAGGAATCAGACTGCCTTCTTTTATGGCAGAAGGGGGTTAGGCTGGATGGCCTTTAGAGATCCCTTCCAACTTGACGATTCTGTGATGTATCCATCATATATTCCTCTCTCAATGGCATCTATCTATCATATCTATGACTGGATGGCTCTATGTTGGGAGGGTTTTGATGGTGCCTTCCTAAAATAGGGTCAGAGTCGATAGCTCTGGGGGATAGATATCTATGATACATACATATGTGTGTGTTTATATATATCATATCTATTTATTAATCATTATATATGACTGGATGGCTCTCTGTCAGGAGGGCTTTGATGGTGCCTTCCCCACTGGAAGAATGGGGTCAGAGTGGGTGGTCTTGGGGATAGATCTCTATCATACATACATGTGTGTATGTGTGTGTGTGTCCTATCTATCTATCTATCTATCTATCTATCTATCTATCTATCTATCTATCTATCTATCATTATATATGGCTGGATGGCTCTGTCAGGAGGGCTTTCATGGTGCCTTCCTGGGTTGGATGGACTTCAGAGGTCCCTTCCAACTCAATGATTCCGTGATGTATCCATCATACATACCTCTCTCAATGACATCTATTATATCTATTGCTGTATGGATCTCTGTGAGGAAGGCTTTGATGGTGCCTTCCTTAATGGAAAAATGGGGTCAAAGTGGGTGGCCTTGGGCATAGGCATCTATCATAAATACGTACGTGTGTATGTGTGTGTATCCTATCTATCTATCATTATATATGGCTAGATGGCTCTCTGTCGGGAGGACTTTGATGGTGCCTTCCTTCATGACAGAAAGAGATCAGACTGGGTGGCCCTCTTTGGAGGTCCCATCCCATTCTGGGATTCTATGTCTATCGTATACATATACATATACACATAGACATACACATATATTCTATTTCTTTATCATTATATATGGTGGGATGGCCCTCTGTCGGAGGGATCGGACTGTGCCTTCCTTCATAGCAAAGGGGGGGGGGTCTAAGAGGGTGGCACTGGGGGGGCGGTGTCCCTTCCCATGCTGCGATTCCACCTGGAAGAGGATGGGCGCAAGGCTTACCGCTCCCTTGCGCTGGGCGTCCGACTCCTCGCTCTCGAAGTCCGGGTCGTCCATGACGAAGGAGAGCATCTGGGTGGCAATGGGGCCCTCGGGGTCACTCTCCGACTCCCCGCCTTTGTCCCCTGCCTTCTGCTTCGGGGTCCAGGCTTTGTGGGGTGGCAGCAAGGAGGAGGGGGAGGGGGGTGTAGGGACAAGATGGCTGTCGTCGGGCTCCAGGCCCCTCTGCGCCACTGTGGGGAGCAAGGAGGGGGCAGTCTTCAGGTCGGGGGCTTTGGTCAAGGGGGACGGCTTTGGGGGCCTGGAAGTCTTTTGGGAAGGTCTAAAAAAAAGGGTAGAGAGGGAGATGAGAAGGGAAAAAGTATTATTACATTATTAATAGTAATTATGTTTATTTATTTATTTATTTATTTATTTCTTACCCACCTCTCCTTGTTGCTCAAAGTGGGTGACAACATAGTTGGAATACATAATCATTGTAAATATTCAATAGGGGCATAAACACAAGCTCTGGCTACTACTGGCTGCATGACAACCATTGATGCTGCAGTTCCTTTGGACTCTAACTCCCAGAATCCCTCTCCCCCAGTCATGGGTACCGTTTTGCCCCTTCTTCGTGGGGGACGTCTTCTTCTGCAGCCTTGGGCCTCTCTTCCTCCTCTTCTTCGCTGGACAGGGTGATGTTCTTGCTGGGGACCCGCCTGGAGGCGTGAGGGGCCTTGCTGGACAAGCGGTCATCCAGGTCCAGGTCGTCCTGGAAGCCAGCCACCAGCGGGTTCCCTCTGGAAGCCTCCTGGTCGCTAGAATTAAAAAAAAAATCAATGCAATCACAGGTTCTGAGGGTTGGAAGGGCGCCCCAAAGGTCATCCACTACAGCGGCCTTATTAATGTTCTTGCTGGGGACCCTCCTGACAGACGGCTATCCAGCCTCATAGAAATGAGCAGGCTCATGGAAATAGGGCTACAGCATCAAAGACTCCCATTTATTTATTTAAGTATTTATATTTCGCCCTTCTCACACCGAAGGGTCGATCACAGAACACATGTACAGCAAACATCCAATGCCATTATACACTGACATGACAGACAACTGTACATAGATAGAGGTATATAAAGGCTTTCCCATCTTTGGCATCTTGGTGGTTGTGCTTGGTTCCAGCCATGAGGGGGTGCTGTTGCTCCATTTTCCCTGCCGAAGAACTTTTTTCCGTAAACTTCCTCTTTGATCGAATCATTGGCATTTCCTTATGGGTGCCTTAAATACCTCCTCGCTTTAAAGCGGTACTTATTTATTTACTCGAAACTGCTAGGTAGGCAGAAGCTGGGCTAGAGGCCAGGAGTTCACCGTGACATAGGCTTCAAACTGTCAACCTTTCAATTTGCAAGATTTACTGCAGGCGGTGGTTAACCTGCTGCGTTAAAGTGTGGCCCTCCCTAGAGCTGGAAGGGACCCCAAGGGCCATCCAGTCCAACCTCCTATATGCATATAACTATCATAGGATCTTAGAATTGGAAAGGATCCCAAATGCCATCAAGTCCAATCTCTTTTTGTCAAGCAAGAAGGTATTACCCGATGCCTCTGGACACATGTTCATCCAGCCATAGAACTAAAGAATCCCAGACTTCTAGAGTTCTGGAAGGGAACCCCAAAGGTCATCCACTCCAACACTCTTCTGCCACAAAGCAAAGCACCATCTGATCCTTTCTGAGAGAGTGCCAGCCGGCCATGGATATGATTCAGAGAGAGAGAGATTTATTGTCAAAGGCTTCCATGGACGGAATCACTGGGTTGTTGTGTGTTTTCCGGGCTGTATTTTTTTTTATTATTATTAAACTTTATTTATACCCCACTACCATCTCTCCAAGGGACTCGGTGCGGCTTACATGAGGCCGAGCCCACAATACATCAATACAAGCAATAACAACAACAGTAAAACAGATTAAATAAACAAAAAAGCAATATACAATGACAATAATACAACAAACAATTAAAATCTATGGCCGGGCCAAATGTAATTAAAGTTAAAAATGCTAGGCATGAATAAGGTAGGAGAGAAGGGGCGTAAATGGGAGCGTACAACAATCCTAAATCAGTGTAAAGTGCATTTAGAGGGCACAATGCTGAGAATTCATTATTCTGGGAAGGCACACTGGAACAACCATGTTTTCAGGCTCCTCCTAAAGACTGCCAGAGTTGGGGCATGCCTGATGTCCTTGGGGAGTGAGTTCCAGAGTCGAGGGGCCACCACTGAGAAGGCCCTCTCCCTCATCCCCACCAATCGCGCCTGCGATGGGAGGTGGGAGCGCAAGGAGGGACTCTCCAGATGAACGAAAGATCATGTGGGTTCATACACAGAAATGCGGTCATGCAGGTAGGCAGGTCCCAAACCATTCAGGGCTTTGTAGGTAAGAACCTGCACCTTGAATTGGGACCGGAAAATAAACGGCAGCCAGTGGAGCTCCTTAAACAGGAGGGGTGGACCAAACTTGGCACATAGAATGCTTCTGGAGCATAGCCATACAGCCTGGAAAACACACAACAACCCAGAAAGAGAGATGTATGATAGCTCATAGATGTCCTGATTGGCCCTTCAAAAACAGCCTTAATACCACGTTGAAAGTAAAAGAAAAATGCTTTACTTCAGCAAACACAAGAGAACAGCACATGAAGTTGAAAAATGCAAAAGAAAGCAAGGAAGTCTTAATACAGACACAAAACTCAAGTCTCTGATAAAGTCCAAAATAAACAGCAGTCTTACATCACACAACAGGCAATGATCAAGTGAGGTCCCTTTCCATTTGCCTATCTCCTCTGCAATACTTCAGAGGAATTCCCTGTAACAATGAAGGTAAGTTCTGACCTTTGAGGAGCCTCTTCCTGTGACTTTCCTTTCCTGCTTCCTACCCTAAGCTCACCCACAGCACTGCGCTCTGGCCTGCCATGGAGACCCAATATATAAATCCATTTGTATCCACACAAGGCCCTGCTCACCTGTCGCTGTCGGCGTGGGGGGCCTTGGAACCGGGCCTGGGGCCCCTCTGAGGGGCAGGGTCCTCCAGGAAGCTGCGGTCCAGGCTCTCCTCTGGGATAAAGTCCTCCACGCTCTGCACCTTCGGAGGGACCCCGGAGGAGGGAGGAGGAGGAAGAGGGGGCCCGAGGGAGGGATCTGTAACAGAGAGAGAATGAGAGGCCTCTGAGGACCCAGGCCTCCACTGGGAACAGAGGAAGGACATCAAAACACACACAGAGAGAGTCCCAAAGGAGCCTGGTGTTCAGCCAATAAAGACAAGGAATAGATCCTGAAGGAAATCACTGAGCATTGGAGGTTCGGATTAATGCGTTTTGAGCAACATGGAGAGGGGGCCAGGGGACAGTTCCATCTTATCTCCTGCATGTGTCATCAGCTGGGGACCCCTCCCCCCAGCACCAACTGCCTCTCTGGGTCAGAGTGAAGACAGAGGGGGCAGAAGACAGTTCGACCTTTTCTCCTGTGCTATGTTAATAATATAATATAATATATTGTATATACATATATTTATAATATTACAATGTAATGCATTATAAATACTACTGATAATAATATATTATAATTATATATTTATATTACATGTAATACTACTAATAATATTACAATATAATGGTATGATACAATGTAGTAATATTTAATACTGATATTGTACTATGCTAATAATATAGTCCCCAGTGATGCAGTGGGTTAAAGCCCTGAGCTGCTGAGCTTGTTGACCAAAAGGTCGCAGGTTTGATTCCGGGGAGCGGCATGAGCTTTCGCTGTCAGCTCTAGCTTCTGCCAACCTAGCAGCTCGAAAACATGCAAATGTGAGTAGATCAATAGATACTGCTCCGGCGGGAAGGTAACGACGCTCTATGCAGTCATGCCGGCCACATGACCTTGGAGGTGTCTATGGACAACACCGGCTCTTCAACTTAGAAATGGAGATGAGCACCACACCCCAGAGTCAGTCATGATTGGACTTAATGTCAGGGGACAACCTTTACCTTTACCTAATAATATAGTATATTGTATGTATATATATCTTGTAAGCTGCTCTGAGTCCCCTTCGGGGTGAGAAGGGCGGCATATAAATGTCGCAAATAAATAAAATTAAATAAATAAACATGGAGCCGATGAGGTAATCAAAAGGTGAAAGGCAGCCCTAAATAGGTAAAGAAGGAGTCAAGGAATACCTGGCGACGCTAAAAGTCACCATGGATTCCTCAAAAACAAGTACTGTCAGACTCATCTCATCTCTCTTTTTCTATAGAGCGGTGTTTCTCAACCTTCTGAATGCCACGACCCCTTAATACAGTTCCTCATGTTGTAGTGATCCTCCAACCACACAATTATTTTCATTGCAACTTCATAACTGTAATTTTACTACTGTTATGAATCGTAATGTAAATATCTGATATTTAGAATGTATTTTCATTCAATGGACTAAATTTGGCACAAACACCCAATACGCTGAAATCTGAATACTGGTGGGGTTGGGGGGGATTGATTTTGTTGTTTGGGAGTTGTAGCTGGTGGGATTTATAGTTCACCTACAATCAAAGAGCATTCTGAACTCCACCAACAATAGAAATGAACCAAATTTGGCACACAGAACTCTGATGACCAACACATAACACTAGAAAGGTTTGGTGGGCACTGACCATGAGTTTTGGAGTTGTACTTCACCTACATCCAGAGAGCACTGTGGACTCAAACGATGATGTCGATATGGAGCAAATTTGGCACAAATACTCAATATACCAAATGTGAATACTGGTGGAATTTGGGGAAAATAGACTTGACATTTGGGAGCTGTAGTTGCTGGGATTTATAGTTCACCTACAATCTAAGAGTATTCTGAACCCCACCAACAATAGGATTGGGCCAAGCTTCCCACACAGAACCCCCATGCCTTGAATGGAATCACGGGTGTGAGCCTCTCATGCTCTCCCTCGCCCACACATGCGCCAACATGATAGACGCCTTTGCACACGGATCTGCCCTCAATTTGTCATCATCTTCTTCTCCTTCTTTATCTGGGGCATCCTTTCGTAATCATACAAATGAAAAGCCCGTTCGTCAAAGGGAGGCTAAGTAGGTTCTGTTTACCTGGGGCCGCCTCAGGGGCAGGGGAGCTCCCAAAGAGCCGGGAGATAATGCTGCGCTTTGGAGGTGGAGCAGCGGCTGCCACAACAACCGTGGAGGAGGGGGCCTCGGGGGTCTCCACCGGGGGTCCATCAATGTGCTGCGGGGCCAAAGGGAGAGGTGGTGGGAGCGGGGTCCCGGGGCTGGAGCTTCCGGAGGCATCGCCCATGGGAGGAGGGGGAGGAACCACCGGCGACTGGGACCCAGAGGAAGGGCTCTGCCCATTGGCCGCCAGAGGGGAGGCGTGGCCTCGGCTGCGGGCCTCCATCATCTCCAGGAAACTGCAAGGAGAAAGAAGGACAAATTTATTTTATTAATTTATTTTTTTACTGTATTTATATTCCGCCCTTCTCACTCCGCAGGGGACTCAGGGCAGATCACAATGCACATATACATGGAAAACATTCAATGCCATAGATACACAACATATATAGACAGACACACAGAGGCTATTCAACTTTCCAGTTTTATGAGGGTATGCTTTGAATTCTGGCCAGCGGGGGAGCTGTCACTTCACCGTCCACTTTTGACACCGATGAAATACTTCCTCATTCTTTTGCACTGCCGATGGAGAGTTTTATGGCATTGTACATTAGTTAAATTAGTCTCCTCGTACTAACATTTCCTACTTGACAGATGCAACTGTCTTTCAGGCTGCAAAGGTCGACAGCAAGCTAGACAAATGATTGGAAGCTTACTCTGACCTGGGCTGGCTTCGAACTCATGACCTTTTTGTCAGTAGTGATTTTAATGCAGCTGACTCCCAACCAGCTGAGCCACAACCCGGTTAAAGGAATGGATGCTGGGAGTGGCAGTCTCAAGGGGGACCCTTCTCCCATGCCTTGGAAGCCCATCCAGTCTAATGATGATGATAATGATGACGAATATCCTGGAAGTCCAGCCCTATAGCATTTGCGGAGAACAGCCCAAAATCGGATTATCATCATCATTATTATCGTCTTGGAAATCCAAGCATGAAGCATTTGCAGACCCAATGTCAGATGATGATGATGATGATGATGAAAATGATCCCAAAAGGATTCCTTTCCCCATGCCCTGAAAGTCCAAGCTGCAAGCTAGATGATGATAATGATGATGATGATGATCCTGGAAGTCTAGCCCTGCAGCATTTGGGGTAAAAGGCCCACAGTCAGGTGAGGATGATGATTATGATGATCATTATCATCATCATCATCTCACCTTGGGCCCTTTTATGCCAAATGCTGCAGGGTTGGACTTACAGGATCACCAGCACCATCATCATCATCCCCCCAGAAGTCCAGGACTGCAGCATTTGTGGGAAACAGCCCCAAGGCCAGATTATTATTATTATTATTATTGCTATTATTAGTAGTAGTAGTATTAGCTATTATTTTATTTGTATCCTGCTTTTTCTCTCTAAAAAGAGACCCAAAGCAGCTCACAATCAAATCAATACAATATAATTTTAAAGCCCTAATAATATACACACATTAACAAGGGAACTGAACATAAACAGAAGTAATAATATACCGTGAAAATCCTTACAATTGGTTAAAAGCTATGCATGGCAAAAACCACAGCATCATAATAAGTATAATAATAAATATATAATAATATAATGATAATAAATAAAATATAATAATAAATATAGCATGATAATAAATGAAATTATTATTATAATAACAGTAATAATAACCATCGAAAGTCATAAGGGATGTCTTTGCATTCTGTTAATGCCATCTATTGGTTTCCCTCTAAATTATGCAAGAGCAAGGAGGAGGGAGCCTCCTCAGCTATAGGGCCTATGAGTGGCCTTTTTCTTTGGGGTGGGGGGGCACCTACATTTCGTAGTTCTGGTCCTCGGTCTCCTGCTGGACGGAAAGCTCTTCCAGAGTGGCGTCGATGTCCAGCTGGTTGGTCTCCAGCTGCCGCAACAGCGTCTCTCGCTGGAAGGAAGGGAGAGCAGGTCAGATCGGATCCGGTGTAACAGATCCCTGGAAAGGCAGGGCTGTTGCCGGGTGGATCTGGTGTCAGGCCTGCGCCTCAGCAGCAGAGAGGCCCATGAATTAAACAGCAGTCTCAGGCTACAGGAAAGGAGCAAGGAAGGTAAACAACAGGCATCTCTACCTAAACACAAGTGTCAAGTCACTCAGGAAGAGCTTCCCTGAATGCTTTAATACATAGTTTGCTATATAATAATAAAATTATTTTAAAATAATGACTGCTGGCAAAGGAATGCCACAGAAACCCTCACCAGCAGTCAGGACCAAAGGGGCTGCAGCTCAGCTCTGCTGCTCTTCAAGGGCAGGAAGGAGAGGCTGGCCAGAAGGCTCACCTGCAGCTGCAAGAAGGGGATGTTGAAGAACTTGTGCAGGTACTTGAGGCCAAAGCTGTTCTTCATGGAAGACTCGGCGTAGCGGAAGTAGGAGGCGCCTGGAGGCCTGTGTCCAGAGAGAAGGGGAAAGGTCCATCAGGAGGACGAAGCACAAGAGGCAGCCCTATCACTCACCACAACCGGCTCAAAGGTTTCCTTTCAACACCATCATCATCATCAATACCATCATAGTAGTAGTAGTAGTGTCATCACCATATTATTATTATTATTATTATTATTATTATTATTATTATTTGAAACACAACAAGATGAGTCGACAGCAGACAAGATCACTCTGCTGGCTGTTGTATTGGATCATACATCGGACCCTTCCCAAGTGTCTAGGACTGTGTGATGTATATTGGCAAACAATGCATGCAGATCCCAGTAAGGTGGCCTTCTGCAGCTGGCAAATGGTAATTTTGTCAGCACCGATTGTGTTTAAGTGCAGGCCAAGGTCTTTAGGCACTGCACCCAGTGTGCCGATCACCACTGGGACTGCCTTGACTGGCTTGTCTTCTGCACTGTGCTTATAATATAATATAATATAATATAATATAATATAATATAATATATTTTTATTTATTTATTTATTAGACTTGCATACCGCCACTCCCAATTTGGCTCGGAGTGGTTTACAGCAATAGATTAAAACAATACAACCAACTTCAAAATACAATAAAAACGAGAACCGACATAGTCCCAAGTTAGTCACCCATATGTATTGTATATACATATAATGTTTTATTTATTTAAGTAGACATACATTTGCACGTGTTTGTTGCATACAGTGCAATACTTTTTATCTTTTAATGTTCCATAATCATTTATCTGATAATATGTCAGTTAAGGGGTCACAGTCTACTATCTAATATCATAGACTCTTACTTTACATCTGCTTCTTCCTTGTCTACAATGTTATAGGGTCCTATATATATGTTTTTAGTTTAATTTTACATTAAGGTGTTGAATCATTGGTTGCCATTCATTAACAAAATTATCTAATAGTTCTCCTCTTAATAATACAGTTATTTTGTCCATTATCAGCATATCTATAATATATTTTTCCCATTCTTCTAAAGGAGGTATCTCTTGGGGTTTTCCAATATCTAGTGTATACTATTCGAGCTGCCAATTTTTTCCATATACATATAATATTGATATTATAATGTAATACAATATACTACTACTACTACTACTACTAATAATAATAATAATAATAATAAAATGATATTATAATTATATATTTTATTTTAAATGTAGTATTAACTAATAATATTGCAGTATAATGTAATAGTACAATGTAATATATAATATTAATATTGTGCTATGATAATAATATAATATATTGTATTTACTTTTTACTTATAAGCCTCTCTGAGTCTCCTTTGGGTTGAGAAGGGCGGCATATGTATGTCATAAATAAATAAATAAATAATTGTGCCAGACTCTTTATTGCTATTATTATTATTGTTACCACCTTCTGCCACTTGCTCAGAAAAGGAACCCAAGGTAAAAGTCAGCCATTTCAAAAATGTAATGAGCACTGAATTTCCCTTTCGGGATTGACAAGAGAAGGGCAGGAACGAGGAAAAATTAGTCTCTTAATTCTTCTTACAAAAAGATGGTAACAATAATGATTGTTAACATGTTTTTGAAAGAAGAATTAAGCAACTAATTATTATTTGAAAATCATTAGACAATAATAATTTGAAAATATGAAACAATAATCTGTAAATCATTAGAAAATAATAATTTGAAAATATGAAACAATTTGAAAACCATTAGACAATAATAATAATTTGAAAATATGAAACAATAACAATCTGAAAATCATTAGACAACAATAATTTGAAAATATGATACAATAACAATTTGAAAATCATAAAGCAATAATAATAATTTGAAAATATGAAACAATAATAACAATTAGACAATAATAATAATAATTTGACAATCATTTGTTACCGCGTCATTTCCAAAGTTTAGCGTTCCTTCCTCTCTCAAAGACAACCATGTTCCTCTTCAATGAGCCTGGTTTCCTCATTGTGATTGTTACAATGATTATTGATTGCCGGTCTCTCCTTGCGTAGATGCACAAGACAGTAGCAGCCCTAGCAACCCCCCCCCCCCCCCATTATCCAGGCCAACCACCTTCTTTGAAAGGAGCCTCACCTACCTCACAAAAGAGGGCTAAAATGAGAAAAAATCGGAAAAAGAAGGCGGCGCCGGCCCTTCGCCATTCCTCCTCCCTTCTCACCTATTGAGGTTGTGGATGAAGTCCCGCACGTCATCTGGGAGGATGACCCGGTGCTCTCCCATGTCCCGATAGTTCCCCAGGACACAGACCGGAACGTGGGTCGGCACTTTGGGCAGCTCCCGCAGGATGTAGCTGAAGGTCCTGCAGGAGAGGCAAGCAAGGCAGCTGGTCAGGCCTCGCTTTCAGGTTGGAGGACCAGCGTTGACCCCAGGGAGCGAGGGGAGAACTCTAAAGCCCACCCACAGCCTGGAGACATCAACCAGTTTGCATTGCAGCACCCAGTTTGCATTGCAGCACCAGTTTGCATTGCAGCACCCCTGACCACCTCTGCTTTTGACACCAAGGACAGAAGACATTTTTCTACTATTTTGTACAAAAATTGCACACACACAAAGATAGTAGTTAAAGATAAAGGTTTTACCTGACATTAAGTCCAGTCATGTCCGACTCTGGGACTCTGGTGCTCATCTCCATTTCTAAGAGCCGCCATTGTTCGTAGACACCCCCAAGGTCATGTGGCCAGCATGACTCAAGGTCATGTGGCCAGCATGACTGCCTGGAATGACGTTACCTTCCCGCGGTACCCATTGATCTACTCACATTTGCATGTTTTTGAACTGCTAGGTTGGCAGAAGTTGGGGCTAACAGGAAGAGCTCACACCGCTCTCCAGATTTGAACCTGTGACCTTTCGGTCAGCAAGTTCAGCAGCTCAGCGGTTTAACCCACTGCACCACTGGGGGCTCCGACAAATATACTATATATTGTATATAGTTTTATTATACACACACATACATATACACGCACATAGTTATAAATTATACATTTTTATCATGTCAGGAGTGACTTGAGAAACTGCAAGTCGCTTCTGTTGTGAGAGAACTGGCCATGTGCAAGAACGTTGCCCAGGAGACACCCGGATGTTTTTGATGTTTTACCATCCTTGTGGGAGGCTTCTATCATGTCCCTGCATGAGGAGCTGGAGCTGATAGAGAGAGCTCATCCGCACTCTCCCTGGAATCAAACCTGCAACCTTCAGTCTTCAGTCCTGGCGGCCCAGGGGTTTGCCCACTTCACCACCAGGGCTCTAATTATATATGTGTAAATTATACATATGTATATGGGGGCCGTGGGTAGCACTATGGGTTAAACCCTTGTACTTCTGAACTGCTGACCAGAAGGTTGACAGTTCAAATCCATGGGGCGGGGTGAGGTTCCACAGTTTGCCCTAGCTCCTGCCAATCTAGCAGTTCGAAAACATGCAAATGTGAGTAAATCCAATAGGTACCACCTCGGCAGGAAAAGGCAAACACGCTCCATGTAGTCATGCTGGCCACATGACCAGGAGATGTCTATGGACAACACAAGATACTCAGCTTGGAAATGGAGAACAGCACCTCTCCCACAGCCAGAGATGAGCACCGCCTCCAGAGCCGGAAATGAAAGGAGAAGCCTTTGCCTTTGTCTGTGCATTTGTGTTTCATTGTATTTCATTGTACCAAGGCACTGAATGTTTGCTTGAATCTGTTTATATGCTATAATTTGATCTGAATCTCCTTGGGGAGAAGGGTGGAATACAAAGTATTATTATTATAATTACTATTATATTATACTATATGGGTGTGTGGGAGGTTTGGCCCAATTCTATCATTGGCGGGGTTCAGAATGCTCTGTGATTGTAGGTGAACTATAAATCCCAGCAACTACAACTCCCAAACGTCAAGATTCTATTTTCCCCAAACTCCACCAGTGTTCACATTTGGACATATTGAGTCTTCGTGTAGAGTTTGGTCCAGACCCATCATTGTTTGAGTCCACAGTGATCTCTGGATGTAGGTGAACTACAACTCCAAAACCAAAGGACACTGCCCACCAAACCCTTCCAGTATTTTCTCTTGGTCATAGGAGAACTGTGTGCCAAGTTTGGTTCAATTCCATCGTTGGTGGGGTTCAGAATGCTCTTTGATTGCAGGTGAACTATAAATCCCAGCAATTACAACTCCCAAATGACAAAATCAATTTTTTTGAGTGAAGGACATACATTGGGTTGTTAGGTGTCGTGTGTCCAAATTTGGTGTTCTGTTAATCCCACAAAGGAACATGACATTTTTATTTATATAGATGTGTGTGTGTATATATAACATTATTAAATAATGTTATATATAAAACACACACACATATATATTCTGCTGCTTTCAATCCACTACAATTGGCCAGTGTGTGAATCCAGTAAATCAGGGAACCCAACATAACAGCTCAACCAATTCAATAATAAATAAGGACATATTTTGAAATACTGTTCATATTTAATTCCATTTTCATGTTTGTATATCTGCAGGCTTTAAATGGTATCACATTGGTTCTACTGTGAGCCGCTTTGAGTCTCTTTTCTTTAAGAGAGAAAAAGCAGGATGCAAATAAAAATAATAATGTTTCCTGAGTGTTGTTCTTTATTTACTGATTTGATTTTAGAAGACATTCCACAGATATATAAACTTCCCCTGCCTGGTTTCCAACAGACCTCACAACCTCTGAGGATGCCTGCCATAATGTGGGTGAATGCTTCTGGAACATGGCCAGACAGCCCGGAAAACTCACAGCAAACCAATAACAACAACAATAACAACAATACTGGGAGTCCTCGTCTCTTGAAGACATATCAAGTAAGATAAGCCTTGGAAAACCATGGTCAAGAACACTCTTTTCCATCCAAAGGCACTGGATTATTCAATCTCTGCTCCGATTTGGGAGGATGGTACTCTCATTTCTCCTCAAATCCTACACGACCCTTTTCTGCGGTTCCTCTTACCATTGTTTGGTGATATCAAACATCATCACAACGCCGTTGCAGTTCTTGTAAACATCTAGGAACTCAGCATCCAGGGCCATCTCGGCCTCCGCCTGAAAGGAAAGAATAAGGGTTTGGATGAGGATGGCTAGGCAATTAATGGCGTCTGAGCCACCATAAAGCCTCTTGGATCCCGAAAAGAGGGGAAATGCAGGACGTGAATAAGTCTCTGGAAGCCAAGGATCAACAGCTTTGAGTTGGACCTGTTAAACTTCAGCAGAGAAGCCTTAGCTGGGACGTAAGAGCCATGTTTCCACATTTAAAAGGATGTCCTATGGAAGAGGGAGAATTATTATTATTTATTTACAGTATTTCTATACCGCTTTTCTCGCCCCTAGGTGAGTGTCCCTGAAGACTCAGTAGAACTCACTGCCTTGGAGTCCAATGGAAGCTCCTTTTTTAGAGGGTTCGAAAGATAGGCTGGATGGCCATCTGTCAGGAGGGCTTTGATTGTGGTTTTCCTGCCTGATAGAAGGGGCTAGGACTGGGGGGCCCTTGGGGGGGGGTGTTTCCCGACTAGGATTCTATAATAATAATCATCATCATCATCTTTTACAATAATTATGATGATGATTTTTAAGCAGGAGCTGGATGGCCATCTGTCAGGAGAGATTGGATGGTGTCCTCCCTGGCAGCTATTTAACGGTGGAACACTTCCCTGGAGTCCAGTGGAAGCTCCTTCTTTAGAGGGTTCGAAACATAGGCTGGATGGCCATCTGTCAAGAGGGCTTTAATTGTGGTTTTCCTGCCTTGTAGAAGGGGATTGGACTGGGTGGCCCTGGGGGGTCTCTTTCTACTAGGATTCTATAATAATAATCATCATCTTTGATAATAATTATGATGATGATTTTTAAGCAGAGGCTGAATAGCCATCCGTCAGGACAGACTGAATGGTGTCCTCCCTGGAAGAAGTGGTTGGACTGGATGGCCCCTGGAGGGTCTCATCCCACTCTAGGGTTCAATCATCATCATCCTCTTTGACAATAATTATGATGATGATGGAGTCTCCTTCTCTAGAGGCTTTTTAGCAGGGGCTGGATGGTCATCTGTCAGGAGAGATTGGATGGTGTCCTCCCTGGCAGAAAGGGGTTGGACTAGATGGCCTTGGAGGGTCTTATCCATCTCTAGGATTCAATCATCATCTTTGATAATAATAATAATAATGGTGATGGGATTCCCTTTTCTTGAGGTTTATAAACAGAGGCTGGATGGTATCCTTCTGACAGAACAGGGTTGGACTGGATGGCCTTTGGAGGGTCTCATCCCACTCTAGGGTTCAATCATCATCATCATCTTTGACAATAATTATTATGGTGGTGGAGTCCCCTTCTCTAGAGGCTTTTTAGCAGGGGCTGGATGGCCATCTGTCAGGAGAGATTGGACATTGTCCACCCTGGCAGAAAGGGGTTGGACTAGATGGCCTTGGAAGGTCTCATCCAACTCTAGTATTCAATTAAAATCTTTGATAATAATAATGGTGATGGGGTCTCCTTCTCTGGAGGTTTATAAACAGATGATGGCCATCTGGGCTTTCCACAGAAGTTGAGGAAGCAGGAACCCATTTTGTTTCCTTCTGCTTCAGGGTAAGCTTTGTTTAAATTTAACTGCTTTCAGCACTGCTTTGTTTGAGAGGGGGCTTCCTGAGTTTAAAATTAACTGCTTTGTTTGAGAGGAGGGGCTTCCTGAGTTTAAAAATTAACTGCTTTGTTTGAGAGGAGGGCTTCCTGAGTTTAAAAATTAACTGCTTTGTTTGAGAGGAGAACCTATACTTTCACCCCTGCATATAGACAACAACATCAAACACACACCAAGAGGAGGTCATTAGCAACCTCCAGATGGAACAAACACGAAAACTTCCCATCTCATGCACAAGCTGTGGCATGTTCAGCTTTTTCACACTACAATTACTCAATTACATCTGCCCCAAGTGTAAACAGATCACTCGCATGGAACACAGGATCCGACAACTCGAGGACCGTATTAAGACCCTTAAGGACATTCAGGAACTTGAGCTGTTCTTAGACACCACACACCACACTGTCCTAGGCACGCAGCCCATATCACACCAACATTACGAGGAGGCTCAACAGAACAGCACCTCAGATGTCGACAACCCTCAGGCTTGGAGAAATGTCACC